AACGGGACGAAAACATGATGAAACCAGAACTATACCAGGATGAAACCAGGACTAAACCAGGATTAAACCAGGACAAAACCAGGAATAAACCAGCATTAAACCAGGACTAAACCAGGATGAAACAGGACTAAACCAGGATGAAACCAGGACAAAACCAGGAGTAAACCAGGACGAAACCAGAACTAAACCAGGAATAACCAGGGCGAAACCAGGACAAAACCTGGACAAAAACGGGACAAAACTTGAATGAAAACAGAATTAAACCAGGACAAAACAAGGACTAAACCAGGACTACACCAGGATTAAATCAGGATTTAACCAGGGCTAAACCAGGACTAAACCTGAATGAAAACGGGACGAAAACATGATGAAACCAGAACTATACCAGGATGAAACCAGCACTAAACCAGGATTAAACCAGGACAAAACCAGGACTAAACCAGGTCTAAACCAGGTCTAAACCAGGACTAAACCAGTTCTAAACCAGGTCAAAACCAGGTCTAAACCAGGACTAAACCAGGACTTGAACTGGACCAAACTACACCAGTCTAAGGCTACATCAGGACTAAGCTGGGTTCAAACCAGGACACGTGGTAGAAAAAATCAGAGCAACTAGAATAACACAGAAATGATATTAAACAGAGCAGAAAGATTTATTCCAATCAAGCTGCAATTGCAATTTGATAAATGAATCACACACTCTGCAAATGTTTCATCAACACAATTTTCTCTGCAAACAATAAAATATCATGTCATATTGTGTAAAACCTGCTTCTCACGTAGTTTAGACATGTTCTGAAAGGCGTGGGATTCTTATATTAGTTTAGGATTTATCTACCTGGAGGTGTGTTGTGTTTAATTCACACATGTTTAACACACAAACCTGCATATTTACTCTGAGTTCTTTTCTCAATCTGAAAACACTGTGTTTTACCTTGTGATATGGTTATACAAGAAGTGCTCACCCGTGTTTTTAAACTCCACACACCTTCACTAGAATCATTTGGATAATTTCAGACCTGAGATGAAGAATCCAGGATTGCAATAACGTATGAATGAAACAAAACACAACTCCAGGTATGTTTTTGATAAGATAACAACATTCTAACATGGCGTAAAGCTCACAAGAGTCCATTTTGTGTTTGGGATGCTCCTGGATGAGTACTGCTGTGTACTGTGTTCAGATTTGAAGATAAATACAAAGTCAAAAAAACAAACATCTGATATCATTCAACCTCAATATTAAACAAACCCTACACGGTATTACAATGTTGTGCAGCTATTATTTACATGTGTTCCATGCTAACCCATTTAACACATCCAAATGTTGCCTGAAAATCACCAAACGTTACCTGTCACATTGGCCTGTCTCAGTGGTGAGGCCATCTGCTCTGCTGTTTCACACTTCAGAATGAGACACCTCCACCGCTCCACATGAAATCAGTATAAAGTGTTTCATAGAGATGGGATCACAAAGGAGAGGACATTTTACTGTACGCTATTGGGTAGTGTAGCAAATATTGTACTCAAAATAGATTTCCCCTACTACCAAATATTACTTTAAGGTCCTATAAGACACAAAATGAACTCTTTTGAGCTTTAAGCCATGTTATAATGTTGTTACCTCATCAAAAACAGAGCTGAAGTTTTTTTTTTTTTCACAATTTTATTTATACATTTCTATAGCAAATTTCAGTCATCATATTTGTGCAATTTTTCCCCCCAAAATAACCCCACAAATAAATAAATAAATAAATAAATACATTAATTAATTAATAAAAGCTAAAATTCAAAAATTTTAATATTATAACAATAATAACAAACAAATCAGATAATCCAAAGACAGATAAATACCTAGTAACAAATAAAAAAAAAGACATACACAACCATGCTAAGGTATGGTGCCAATTTTATGTGTCCATATATTTCAAAAATGGCTGCTATGCTTTTTTGAGTTGTGTTTTTATTGTTTGTTTTTCATTCACACGTGTTTGAGTAACACTTTATTATTAGTCTGTCTACTTCTCCAAAGCTGAAAACGCTCTGTTCCATCTTGTGATGTCAGGAATTGGTAGTTTTCAAGTTAACAACTACTTTTTACCTTTAGTTCAGTAAAGATGACAAATTCCGGGTTGGAAATTGTCCTAATGATTCTAGTGAAGGTGTATGGAGTAGGGCTGTCGCGGTTAGGGAATTTCTCCTGCGTTGCGGTGTAGCGGCTCAACAGCACAGTATGCAGTGATCAATGTTTCTTCTGCTCTGTAAATAAAGCCTGTGAAATGTTTACAGTCGAGTTGCGTCTGTGAATTCATACTCGTACTGAAGAAATTGTAACCGTTACATTTCGTTTCGTGACTGTAATCCTTGAAATCGTAATTTTTCAATTTGTATTCTGACGGATGCTATTGTTGCTATCGTTATTGGTGTTTCTGTTGCTTAAAAACACGTTGATTCCTTCTGTGAACAGGGGCAACTCTCCACAGATCTGACTTATAATGTAGCATAGTGCTGCCACCTGCTTGTCTCCCTTGTGATAGATAGGTTTAATCTATATCGTGGAACATTCTAGACAATGCAATAATAATATGTAGCAATAACTGAAATATTGTGATATCGTATCGTCAAAGTTCTAACAAAAATATCGTGGACCATCACAATATAAAAAACAGACGGAACTACATAGACCATGATCCTTTGCTCCATTTCAGTGTAGACTACATGAAGAAATAACAGTTCTAAGCACTTTTGAGTCTTAGTTCTTTGGATTAAGTCTTGTAAGGGCATTTTAAGAGGAAAAAGTAGCATATTAACAGTTTTGTTCACCTCCACAGAATATCACAATAAATATCTTACCATGAGATGTATATTGTGAAAATATCGTACCGAGAAATTTAATATCTTTACATCCCTAATCATGAGCCTCACTATCATATTGTGTTGACATCGTATTGTGAGACTTGGATATCGTTACACCCCTAAGCAATAACGTTTCCCTGGAGACAAGCAGGTAGCGGACCCTCTACTAGAAATGTCACGCAGTGCACCTTTAAGTAGAGGAACAAGGTGATGGTCCAAAATGATTCTCGTAAAAATTATGCAGTTTTTCAAGTACTGTAATTTCCTCCACAAACAACAAAATATCCTTTTTTCTTCTGCAGTTTTGATCTGTACAAACATGTTCTGAAATATGATTCTTGTATTAGTTTGTCAGTTCAGATTTCATTCTTTTTCTCAATTCTGCATTTAAAATGTGAAGTTTAACAGAATATTATATTATTATTAAAACATAAATCGTAAATCTATTCACAATCGCAATCGTTCAGCCGTATTGAGGGAAACTGAAAAACTGAAATAAATGTAAACTGAATGACAAAACATTGGATGATACACAAATCTGGTATTTTGTATGTAGTGATCACAGAAATTAGAAAAAGACAAGCAAGCAGTTGTTCAAATCATTTAATATCGTCACCTGTAAACTTACTGTGGAAAACATGGTAACAAGTGCATTATTTTTCAGTTAACTACCTCTTATTTAGTTTTTTTGTTTTGTTTTTGTCTACTGCGTCTGTATCTTGGTAAAAGTATCTTGCGCTGAACAAAGCAGCTACTGAATTCCTCTCCTCCACAATCTCTAACTGTGGAGTCTTTATTTCATCGGAGCACAGCAACTCCATCTCTATTCTCCAAGTATTGGATTTTTATTGCATTCTTCATCTTATTTGGACTTGTTAGTGTTGTAGATGGCTGCTATCAAAGCTAACTGGGCTATTTGTGACAGCTATTACACTTCTGATTAGATTAGGTTTGAAATCAAGATCCCAGAAATCTTTTTAAAATGGATTCTTGTGAGCTTTAAGCCATGTTAGAATGTTGTTACCTCTTCAAAAACATACCTGGAGTTGTGTTTTGTTTCATTTGCACTGTTTGAGTAGCCCCTTGTTTACATCTCTAAAACTCAAAATGGTCTGTTCCACCTTGTGATGTCATGAAGTAGTAATTTTCAAGTTCCCTTTCACCTTAAGTAAAATGGTAGTAGAATGAAACAAAACATAACTCCAGGTATGTTTGTGATGAGGAAACAACTTGCCGTATTTTTCGCTTCGGAGTATAAGTCACACCAGCCAAAAAATGCGTAATGAAGAAGAGAAAACATATATAAGTTGCACTGGACTATAATCGCACTTAATGTGGGAAATTTATTTCATAAAATCAAAGACCAAAACCCAACATTTCATCAAGTTTTAGTAATAACTATAGAACAGAGAACAACAGGCTGTTAACGTCACATATGAACAGTTCTTCAGATAACTATAACATAAACAACAGAACAGAACAAGTTTACCAAACTCTCCATCTCACTCCAAATCACTAAATCCATTGAATTCTTCATCCTCGGTGTAATTTCTGAGCAATTCCACGACCTTTGGAGATAAACAAAGTGGCACTTCCTCTTCTGTGTAGCTGTCATCAGACTCAGCATCTGTTCCAGTTAGAATTATTCCAGCCTTTCTGAATCCCGACAGGATGGTTTCAGTTGTCACTGAAGTCCAGGCTTTGTCAATTCATCCAGTGACTTCCAGGAAAGTTACATGGTGCATTCTCCCATTCTCATTGCCGTGAAGCTGTGTTCTTCATCCCCGCTTTCTGCCAGTGCCTCACAAGTTTCTCGCTCACTCCAAACTTTCTTTCTGCTGCTCGATTACCGTTTTTGGCTGAATATTTCACTTCTTGCAGCAGGACAGATGCTTTTTTCTGCACAATAGAGGGGGAAGGGATGGCGGTACAGTAGTAGCAGATATTGACACACAAGCCTAGAGCGCCCTCTCGCGGCTGTCAATGTGAAAATTTTAATATATAAGTCGCAGCAGAGTATAAGTCGCAGGACCACACAAACCATGAAAAAAGTGTGACTTATAGTCCGAAAAATATGGTAGTAACAAACCAGAAAACAGTATAACATGGGCCCCTTAATAAAGATCTATTCTTTCTGTCTCTAGTTGGTCTCTGTCTGGCTCGGAGCAGTTTGCCTTGCGTTACGCCGATGGTCCTCAGCTCTACATCACTGAACAGGTGAGGAGGAGCTTCTCATAACATGTTTTTGCTTTTAAACGGACTCAGCAACTTTACTTATGTTTCTTCTTCTTTTTTCAGACTCGAGGAGAAATCAAGAATGGTACTATCCTCCGATTAGCTATTTCACCTGTAAGTAAAATCAATGTACAATTTGAGCACATAGACTGTATAAAGAAGTGGACTAAGGGAGAGTATTGTCCAGTCAAATAAAGCTCATGACGCTAGCAGTTATAGAAGCGATTTTTGAGCTGTGTTCCATATTAAGAATAGGAATTGATTTACAGACAAAATAGTGAAATAAGAACACCAGGAACCTCTTAAGACCGAGTTGAGCAGCCATTTCGAGAAGTAGTTTTGGAGAGATGGTCGACATTTTTTTCAGCACAAAGTGAATTGAAGCTAGAGTCGATGGAGCCAGAAGTGTACCATGCTCACTTCCTATCTGGAACACAGTGCCTAGCAGGTTAGACTTAGACTCAGACAGACTTTATTGATCCACAAGGGAAATTACTTGGACACAGTAGCTCACATATCACATTTTATTACAATAACACAGTACAAAAATATTAAAAAATGGTAATAAACTTTGAAATGAGTAGAAATAAAAATAGCAAGAGACTGATAACAATAAGACATAAACTATAAAAATGTATGTACAGTAAATAAAAAAACAAATATCGTAATATACAGTATATCACAGTTATATACAAGAGGTCGTAAGGAAACAGTGCAAAGATGAAATGATGACTGAAACACAGGGTTATCTGTTACATAACGGTGAGTTGTTGTACAGTTGTAGGAAGTATTATCTGTTACATAAGGGTGAGTTGTACAGTTGTAGGGAGTATTATCTGTTCCATAAGAGCGAGTTGTACAGTTGTAGGGAGTATTATCTGTTACATAAGGGTCAGTTGTTGTACAGTTGTAGGGAGTATTATCTGTTACATAAGGGTGAGTTGTACAGTTGTAGGGAGTATTATCTGTTCCATAAGAGCGAGTTGTACAGTTGTAGGGAGTATTATCTGTTACATAAGGGTCAGTTGTTGTACAGTTGTAGGGAGTATTATCTGTTACATAAGGGTGAGCTGTTGTACAGTTGTAGTGAGTATTATCTGTTACTTAAGGGTGAGTTGTTAGACAGTTGTAGGGAGTATTATCTGTTCCATAAGGGTGAGTTGTTAGACAGTTGTAGGGAGTATTATCTGTTCCATAAGGGTGAGTTGTTAGACAGTTGTAGGGAGTATTATCTGTTCCATAAGAGCGAGTTGCTGTTCAGTTGTTAGGAGTATTATCTGTTGCATAAGGGTCAGTTGTTGTACAGTTGTAGGGAGTATTATCTGTTACATAAGGGTGAGGTGTTGTACAGTTTAGGGAGTATTATCTGTTACATAAGGGTGAGTTGTTGTACAGTTGTAGGGATTATTATAGTATGAATGTATTCCTCTCACTGTTTGACTGGAGCTGTAGGAGCCTGTTGGAGAATGAGCTCCTCTGCCTCTCTATAGTCTGTTGCAGTGGGTGAGTTGTTGTACAGTTGTAGGGAGTATTATCTGTCCCTGTATAGTCTGGTGCAGTGGGTGAGCAGGAGTGTCCATGATGGAGAGCAGTTAGCTCTGTCTCTTTATATGGTATATACTGGGTTTATGGGTTGGCTGTAGGTTGTTTTAGAACTCAGCCCTACTTCCTGTATTTTTGTACTTTTCTTCTGAATTTCTTTTGCCACAAACTGAAACTTAACTGATTTAAAACTATGATAATATTTTTCACAGACCAAACCAAGTGAAAATGAGAAAACCATGAAAACCTGTAATATGCACTTTAAGCTACAAGATTAACATGGCAATTTTGTCTAATAATGACTTTTGACTAATAATGACATTTGTGGATTCATTTGAAAACCAGTGAAATGTCCACAGACCTTCTTCCTTCATCTGAAATAATTACATAAAACACTTGCATTTCACTTCATTTTACTTAACCATAAATAGCCCCTTTATTACTACTTTTTTGCTGTGGTCAGAAATATCCTACGTTTAGATTTTATTTCATTCAAATAAATGCATTCAATAAAACTGATTTCTATGATCTTTAAAGGGCCCATATTATGTTGTTTCCTCATCACAAACATACCTGGAGTTATGTTTTGTTTAATTCACACAAGTTTAACTCACAAACCCTGCATATTTAGGCTTCTCTCTTCTCTCATACATCCACCTTGTGATGTCATGTGGAAATGCTCCACTATGTTTTTAAACTCCATACAACTTCACTTGAATAATAAGTAAGTAATAAGTACCGTAGTATCGCTCTGGAGTATAAGTTGCACCAGACAAAAAATGTGTAATGAAGAATTAAAAAACATATATATGTCGCACCAGACTATAAATTGCACTTTTTGGAGGAAATAAATTTTATAAAATCAGAGACCAGGACCCAACATTTCATTTTGAAAGGCAAGTTATAGTAATAACAATAGAACAGAGAACAACAGAGTGAATACGCATCTGGTATGTTAACATCACATACGAACAGTTCTTCAGATAACTAGAACATAAACAACAGAATAAAACAAGTTTACCAAACTCTCCATCTCGCTCCAAATCACTAAATTCATTGAATTCTTCATCCTCGGTGTCACTTCTGACACCGCAACCTCTGGTGGTAAACAGAGCACCTCTTCCTCTTCAGTGTAGCTGTCGTCAGACTCAGCATCAGTTCCAGTTAGAATTATTCCGGCCTTTCTGAATCCTGACAGGATGGTTGGGTGGTTACTGAAGCCCAGGCTTTGTCCATCCATCTAGGGACTTCCAGGAAAGCTGCATGGTGCACCCTCCCTTTTACTGTGAATCTGTGTTCTCCATCCCTGCTTTCCGCCAGTCCCTTGCAAGTTTCTCGCTCACTCCAAACTTTATTTCTGCTGCTCGATTACCATTTTTGGCAACGGGAGTAATAGATACTGACACACAAGACTAGAGCCTCTCGTGACTGTCAGTGTGAAAATTTTAATATACAAATTGCACCAGAGTATACGTCGCAGGAAACACCCAAACCTTGAATAAAAGTGTGACTTATAGTCTGAAAAATACAGTAAGTAAAAGCTACCACGGCATGACATCACAAGGTGGAACAGAGCATTTTGAGATTTGGAGATGGTGACAGACTAATCATACAGGGTTACTCAAGTGTGACACAAAACACAACTCCAGATGTGTTTTTGAGGAGGTAACAGCATTCTAACATGGTTTAAAGCTCACAAGAGGGCATTTTGTGTAATAAAGGACCTTTAAGTTTTGTATACTATGACCTGGTTTAGCTCTGTTTAAGCTCCAGTATATTCTTGGACATATTGGTACTTGAAACACTGTTGCATTCACATTTGTGGTAAAATGTGACTGCTATTTTAAAGACAGTTGTTTACAGAGTTGTTTACACTCTAACAATTGAATATTCTTCAGCTCATTAGTTTTATAGTTATGCTGTTATTCGCAGTAGCCCAAATTCTGCAGTAAACATTTGGATGCTGCTGAGTGGAGAGAGCGGTGAATTCAGGGCAGAGTGAGTCCTTGTAGTTTGCCTTGAAACAAACATTGAATCCTCTGCAGAGATGTTTGAATGTTGAGCAGCTCAGGGAGGAGGACTAAGCACTTTCTCACTAAACAACAGGATAGAAATGTGTTATGTATTATTCAAGTTGAAAAAGTTATACGGAAACAAAAAAAGTACTAGGTCAACTTGCTCCTGCAACATTTTAATAAGCATCAACTTCAGAATTACCTCTCTAAGTGCCCAAGCATAACATCTAAAATAGGTAAACAGCTTAATATTTTTTCCTGGGAAGTTATTGTTTCTAACTTTGATGCACATAGTTCAAGAATGAGTTAACCTGAATTCTATGGCTGTAGTATAATCAGGTTGTTCAATGAGTCTGATGGGAAAACATTGTCTATATTTTTTATCAGTAAATTTTTAAATCAGACACTTGCAAGTAAAGCTAGGATTCCAAGTTCTTACAATATTCTAGATGTAACTAAACCTTTTTTCAAACTGTGGCATGTCCAAGTTTAGGTGCCACACAGATTCAAATACTGTTCAGATATTTGCTGAATTTACAGTCAATTCCTCATTTTCTTAATTTTCTTCTTTGGGTTATAACTACTTTAATATAACTAGTATATTTGTCACAATAATTACAATATGGACTTACTGTGCAGTATATGAAAGTCAGAACAATATATTTTGGGGCTCAAAATGTATACAATACAAAATGTGTACAATTTCTTTGTTAAAGTGGGACGATGTGGCTTATTTTTGTTGTAATACAAAAAGTTTTGAGCTGTAGAGGGTTGAAAAGTAACACCTATGACTTATAATATATATATTATAAATTATATATATATTATATTATATTATAGCTTCATTATGTTATTTATTTGTTTTGATGAAACTGTTTATTTAAAAATGATTACTGGGACTATATTGGGTCATTATTGTTGTATAAGAAGCATAAAGTAGTTTCAGTATTATCGTTTATCGTAGTATTTCTTTTCTTCTTATTTATGCATTTGTAAAGGGACAGCACATATTAATGAACATTAAAAATGTAAACATGTAAAGATTACAGCCAGCGTGGCTCATTTCCATCTTCCGTCCCTTGGCAGGTTGATTTGAAATCATCTACAGGACAGAGAAAAGTACAACAACAATCACACAAACGTATATAAAACCAGCACACTCACTGTACATACAACACACTCACTATACACACAACACACTCACTGTACATATAAACTAATTTCAAACAGTTAATTTCTCTGTATCATTAGATCATGCTTCAGTTATAGTCCAGTTATAGACATAGTTACGGTCTGATGGTTCTTGTAAGGCCAAATAATTTCAAAGATAGTTCTTGTTGTGAAAAGTTGGTGAACCATCCCATTGAAAACCCAGAAGAATCAAATGTGAAATAGACTGAATAATAAACCGTCACCTCTGTCGTCCCCAGGGCCGAGCGGCGCGTCAGCTCCTGGAGAGGATTCAGTCCCACGGGATCGACGCTCGTCTGGAGGCTCTGAAGGAACTGGCTAAACTGTCTGCTGACCCAACCTTCGCCGCAGAGTTTATCAACATGGAGGGCATCGGGACCCTGGCGAGGCTGGTCGAGAGCGGGACACAGTAAGGACTATGAAACCCTGCCTCAGTAAATCATATTTGATGGTGGATTGGTGAATTGTTTGGGTTGTAGGTAGGGCTGGGTGATATGAAAATGATGCACATGTCATTGCTCTGCCTGGAATGTTCCACAGTATGGCATTAAACAGCTCCACCTTACGTTTATTCAATTATAGTGGTTTCATAGCTCAAAAATAACTAGACAAACAAACATTCTGACTGTGTGCAGGGTTGCCTCTCCACAGATCTGAACTGTAACTTGACCTGGTTTGGTTTCCATGAAAATAGAAAGGTTTAATAATAATATATCAAGTTATTTTAAAGGTGCATTGTGTAACTTTTCTTGAGGAAGGTCTGTCAGATGCTTTTCTCCATGGAAATTGTATTAATTTTAATTTCCTGAACATGAACAAAACAGACTTTTAATCATTGCCATTTAACACAAAATATTTTCACATTTCTTTATCCGAAGTCTGACCTCCAAACACATACTTTAAAAGAAAACTAAAAAGCAAAGCACACAGAAAAAAGTAAAGTGTCTCGAGGGCCGTAACATCAATCGTTCGAAAATAAATGATTGAATCTAGAGCTGTTGAGCAAATTAGAAATTTCTGTGGTTTCAGTGAGCAAATTTAGTAACTATTTCTGAAGAAAATGGAGTGTTAATGATAATTTAATAAATGAGTAGTTTGGTAATTAACAGTAAGTAATTATAACCGTCTGTCTCTGGACTAAAAAAAAGACACTGTACAAGTACGAGCATCTCCAACACAGTATCACAGTTAGCCAAATAACAAGCCAGTATTTATGATCTCATGGTAGATATTTACTCCAAAAATGTAGAGGGAGCTTCAGAAAATGCATCAGAGCTCCTATATTATGCAAAACAGACACTTGTGAGCTTTATGATGTGTTATAATGCTGTTACTTCATCAAAATATACCGTACCTGTTGTTGTGTTTTGCTTCCCTTTATTATTAGTCTGTCTACATTTCCAAAATTCAAAATGCTCTGGTCTACCTTGTGATGTCATGAAGTGGTAGTTTTCAAGTTAATGTCTACCTTTAGGTTAGGTTAGGTTAGGTTGCTTTATTTGTACGCATAAGTAAATTTGTTTTGCAGATTTGAGAGGCAGGTCCCACATTTCACATTTCATTCAGCCACATTATGAACAATAACACATATAAAAACACAATTACAAAAATAAAGTGTTACAGTGCTACAGAGCAGAATGGTTTGTTCCATAAACAGTTAGCTAAATTCATCCATCACAAACATACTAAAATTTATAGATAAATCGATTACAGTTCATTTATAAGAACGATAGCAGCCGGAACAAAGCTCCTTTTTTAAACGATTCGTTCTAGATCTTGGGACTAAAAGCTTCTGTCCAGAGGGAAGCAGCTGAAACTCTGAGTTTAGTGGATGATGCATGTCTTTTATAATACTCTGGGACATCCTCTGTAACTGTTTTGAGTACAGGGAGTCCAGCCTGCTCTGAGGATGGACAATCACCTCACTCACCCATTTAACCAACTGATTTACCTTTAGTTCAGTGGAGATTGGCAATACCCAGATCTGAAATCATCCAAATGATTCTAATGAAGTTGTATGGAGTATGGAAACACAGTGGAGCACTTCCTGTATTACCACATGACATCATAAGGTGGAACAGTGTTTTCAGTATAAGAGAAAAAACTGCTACATACCCGACTTGTGTGTTAAACATGTGTGAATGAAACAAAACACAACTCCAGGTCTGTATGTGATGAGGAAACAACATTATAACACAGATCAGAAAATAGTGTAAAATGGGCTCTTTCAAAACAAAACTATACATTGTGTGAAATGAAATACTTTTCTTTTAAATCAGCAGTTTTGGTGAGATGCTGGCCTTCACTCTCACTGCGTTTCTGGAGCTGATGGACCACGGCATCGTCTCCTGGGACCTCATCTCTCTGTCCTTCATCAAACAGGTACTGAAGGAATTCACAGTGGATTATAATATCTTTAGCTTTGTAGCTGCAGTTTCATTTTCATTTTTTTTTCTTTTTACTTGGTTTTAGCCTTACATCATTCTTTAATCTTATATTGCTGGCTTTCAGATGACAACCCAGCATTCTATAGGCCATTAATATTCAATACAGATGGGGTACAGTTTAAATTAATATTGATGAAATGCATATTTTTGCTGTGATATAAAGGGTTCATGGGTCTAATCACTTATAGAAATAATCAGGTTCAACATTTGTGAATTTACCTTTTAGAAATTTCATAGTTAGATACTTGAAAATACATTTAAAACATACATTTAAGGAAAACAAAGAAAAAATCAATTAAATAAATACATTAATTTCATGGTCAAAATACAATATTATCAATAGAAATATGTCTGTGGGAGTTTGTCATCATCACATTCAAGGGAAAACCCCTGATTGAGATTAGACTGACTGATACATTTTTTTTTAATGCTGATTAGATGATGTTGAAACTAGAGTAACTGATGTCCATTAAGTTTAGTCATATTTTTTGGGTTGATATGTGGAGCTGATTTTGACAGTTCCACCCAAATTATATGATTTGCAAAGGCGGTAAGCTTAACCACCATCTTGTTTCATTACAAATGATAGCAGTTTAGTCACATTTTGTGCAGGGCCCTCTTTGCGATTCAGTGTTCAAGGACAGTAAAATGGATTTCTTTTACTCTGGCGGTCAGTCGAAACAACATATTGGCATTATGTTTTGTATTAGACTTTTGTATTAGATGTATTTGAGCAAAATTAGCCTTGCTCCAGTACAGATATATTGTATAAGCAGCTCTTGAGGTCCAAATAACCCTGCTGTGTGCTGTCTACATCTAATTATATAGTGAATCAGGAATTGTGTGGTTTGCATTCTCATTGTCATTAGCTTTACTGTCACTCTGGTCTCTGAAAGATGTGAAAAGTGTTTACAAACTCATCACTGAGAATAATTACGATGCTCTGAGTGCATAAGGTAAGTGAGGAATAACTTTGGACCACTGCAAACCCTTTAAAATGAACTAGATTTTCAATAAAAATTAGATGAAAAATAAAAGTGCAAATATCCAGCTAGCTCACTGTCTCTCAAAGCTAACAATCACTTTTATTAAAACTGCAAAACATAAAATAAACAACCTATTGAAATTCAAATTAACTGAAATATAGACTGACCCAGGTGTTTTTATATGCAGAATACTTCAGTTTGCGATGTTGATATTTATTATGCCTCAGAATTAGCATTAGCGTTAGCATTGAGACACAGACATCTCTCTTTCTAAACACAGAAGTGTCCTGTGCTGAAGTATTCATTTTATTTATGACAGCTCCCTGTTCACTGCCTTATCTTCAAATATTTATTCATTTCAGCACGACTCATCAAAAACCCCATAGAGATAAAAGTAGACAGGAAGTAGTGACGCTAACAGTGAGGTTGCTGGGCGATGTCGTGCACAGAGTCTATTGAAATAAAGGTCAGCTAATGTTATACTGTTAATATGCTCTTAATAGACCGTGGACCAAATTACACGCCTTTAATCACATTGGTTTGTAATCACTGATCTCATGGACAAACCTCATACCGACCCTTAGATATTGTTGCCTAGTAACCCATCTCATTTTGGTTTTCATTCATTTCTGTTGAAAAGCAGAGCAGCCTTGCTCAACAGGGTCTCACTGCAGAAACAGTTTGTACTCAGACTGATGTGGCTAGCGCTGCAATTACCTCTTTTTCCACTATTTTAGTCTCCACTTTCTATTGTTCAAATGTGACGTCGTGGCATGATTTTTTTTTTTTTTTTTTAATGGAAAAATACAGTTGATTTAAAAGATTTCTGACTGTTATGTAAAGTAAGTAAGTTACAAAAAGGTAATCATTTTTAAGTGAAGAAAATCTTAAAAAAAAAAAAAAAAAAAAAAAAAGGAAAGATTAAGATTAATATTCAGAATTGTCTTTAAAAGTGCACTATGTATATTTTCTGGTTTGATGCATGATATGTTATAGTTTTGCCTGAAATGTCCCACAATATAGTATTAAACTTATCAATCTTGAAATTATCATTTATGTAAATACAGGTGTTTTTATCACAAAAAAATGAATCTTACAACATGCATTCTTACTGTGAGTGGGCTTACTTCTCCACAGATCTTGTCAGTAACTACAGATTGGAAATAGATGAGTACATGTACATTCACTTTACTCATTTGTGCATAAAAAACAAGCCACCGCAGTATGCTGTATGGCTGGCGTGTGAATTGAACAATGTGAAAAAAACAATAAAACATGAATAAGTACTAAATTAAGGCCAAAGCACACATTTAAAATATTTTTTTGTAATTATTTTTATTGATGTATGTAAAGGGTAATGTTTGGAGGTGTTTTAGTGCTGTTGATGCCAGGGCCCCCTCCACTGCTGCTCCACTAAGGCCGCTCCTTTTGCGCGGCTGGATTTCTGTGCTCTTTCACATTCACGATGAAGCTTCAGGAAATGGAGCTCCTCTCGTGTTGAAAAGAGTTCAGAAGACAGGTCCTGCTCCTTCCTGGACAGTTTTTCATTTTCATTGTTGGTTTGATCTCTACCAACATCATTACGAGTGGTCTGAGTCTCCATAGTATGTTCTTGAAGTTTTTCTTTCAACTTCTCATGGACTTTCCTGGTGTTGGCTAGCTCTTGTTTGAGCTGGACAGTGTCTGCCACTACAAACACCTTATCTCCTTGTATGCACTAACTTGGTTTTTCAGCTCTTTCTCTTTTTTCAGGAGGTTATCTTTGAGCTCTTTCAACTCCAGATCTTTTTCATTCATCTTTTTCCTTGCTCTTTTGAAGTTGACAAACTCTTGCCTTAGTTGCACGTGATCCTGTACTTCAGCATTATACAGGTAGCAGATCTCCTTATGTGCATTCATTAGGTCTTGTAGATGCTTTTCCTTCTTCAGGAGAATAGCAGTAAGTTTTTGCAACTCCAAGTCTTTTTCATTAGACTTTTCTGTGACTTCATTGGATTTGGCCATCTCTTGTTTTAGTTGCACATTTTCATGTATTATAGAAGTATACAGGTCACGGGGCCTCTTATGTGCTCTAACCTCTTCTTGTAGTTGCTTGTCCTTCTCCTGAGGAGTATCAATTAATTTTTGCAACTCCTTTGCCATGACTTCTTTGGAGATGCAAGCTCTTGTTTTAGTTGCTCATTTTCCTGTTTTTAAAAATCATACAGGTACTGCATGTCATTTGTAGTAAATAGCTCTTGGAATTCTTTGTCCTTCTGCTGAAGAGCGTTAGTGAACTCCAAGGCCTTTTCTTTGGCCATCTTCCCCTCAGTCTTGAACTTGCAGTTCAAAACAAAGGTTTTTGGACCTGATCTGCAAGCTGAGCAGCTGAAAACCCTGCTCTAGGCAATGCAATAACATCTTCATGGAGACATAAAGGTACCAGAACCTCCATCTTAGAGTTACATAGCTCAGATTTTATGAATGTAGATAATCCTTTGTTTGCAGTTTTTGTCCTCCATTGCATAAAAATGACTTTTGAGCTTTAAGACATGTTATATTGTACCTCATGAAAAACAGACCTGGAATTGTGTTTTGTTTCATTCACAAATGTCTGATTAATCCTTTATTATTAGTCTGTCTACATCTCCAAAGCTCAAAATGCTCTTGTGATGTCATGTAGTGGTAGTTTTCATGTTACTCTTTTCAGTGGAGCTTGCCAGTTCCAGGGCTGAAAGTATCCAAATGATTCTAGCGAAGGTGCATGGAGTTTAAAAGTGTGGAGCACTTGCTGAATTACTAGATGACATCACAAGGTGGAACAGTGTGTTTTCTTTGTGAGAGAAGAACACAGCCTAAATATGCAGGGTTTATGTGTGAATGAAACAAAACACAACTCCAGGTATGTTTATGATGAGGTACAATTTAATTCCCTTTCTCTCATCTTGCAGATCGCTGGATATGTGAACCAGCCCATGGTGGACGTGTCGATCCTGCAGCGCTCTCTAGCTATTCTGGAGAGCATGGTCCTGAACAGCCACAGCCTCTACCACCGGGTGGCGCAAGAGATCACCGTGGGACAGCTCATCGGGCACCTGCAAGTGTGAGCTCACCCACGCACCCACGGAGCCCTGTGCTCTGAACGGGACGCCCTGGGGAGAGAGGGGAGAAAGGGGGAGAGGGGAAATTGGTGCAGTGAGGCTGGGGTTTATCTTGTATCAATGTTTCTCAGTTTGTATTCCTTCAGGTAGTCCTCAAATGGCGCACTTTAAATTCTTGTTTTAAGTATTGCTTTGAGTTCATCCTTATTTATGCAGTGTCTAGTCCCAGTGTAGCTCCATTTCGGACTTGGTTTTGTTTACATTGCTTTTTCGTAGTTTAGTTCTATCTTAGATCTTGTTTTATTCTGCTGTGCTGGTTTAGTCGTGCCAGATTTTGTCCTCCTAGTTAAGTCCTGGATTAGTCCTATTTTAGATCTGGTTTTATGTTATCGACGGGTAATTTTGCCCTCATTTAGTCCTGGGTGTAGTCTTCCAGTTTTAGTCCTAGCCATTTTAGTAGTAGTAGCAGTTGTTGTAGTAGTAGTAGTAGTAGTAGTAGTTGTAGAAGTAGTAATAGTAGTAGTTGTAGTAGTTGTAGTTGTTGTTGTAGTAGTAGTAGCAGTTGTTGTAGTAGTAGTTGTAGTAGTAGTAGTTGTAGTAGTAGTAGTAGTAGTAGTAGTTGTAGTAGTAGTAGTAATAGTAGTAGTTGTAATAGTTGTAGTTGTTGTAGTAGTAGTTGTAGCAGTAGTTGTTGTAGTAGTTTTTGTAGTAGTTGTTGTAGTAATACTTGTAGTAGTTGTAGTAGTAGCAGCAGTAGTAGTAGTAGTAGTTTAGTTGTAGTAGTTAGTAGTAGTAGTAGTAGTAGTAGTTGTAGTAGTAGTAGTAGTAGTAGTAGTAGTAGTAGTTGTAGTTGTAGTAGTAGTTGCTGTAGTTGTAGTAGTAGTAGTAGTAGTAGTAGTAGTAGTAGTAGTAGTAGTAGTAGTAGTAGTAGTAGTAGTAGTTGTAGTAGTAGTAGTGTAGTAGTAGTAGTAGTAGTAGTAGTAGTAGTAGTAGTAGTAGTAGTTGTAGTAGTAGTAGTTGTAGTAGTAGTAGTAGAAGTAGTTGCAGTAGTTGTAGTTGTAGTAGTTGCTGTAGTAGTAGTTTTAGTAGTAGTTGTAGTAGACAAGCTTGAAGAATGCTGTTTCTTAGAGCAAGGTGCTTCTAACGGTGTGTTCTGTTGTTGTATATTTCAGATCGAATCAGGAGATCCAGACTTACGCCATCGCTCTGATTAACGCACTGTTCCTGAAGGCACCAGAGGACAGAAGACAGGTCTGCGCACCAGTCAAACTAAAACACTCTTTTAGAACAGACATTTAGTGAGACGTAGTTTAAATAATGGCGTTTTATCGCATATGTCTAATTGAACTCATATAATGCTTCCATTAGTTGGTAGAGGTGTCTGTCTGCCAGCATTCATTCTGTGAGTTAATCATTTTTATAACACAAGATGCAACACATTTTCCATTGCTTTCTCTGTAACTAATGTACATTTTTAATTTGATCCATTCTGTCATATCTATTCATTTTTGTCTGCACAATCTGTCCCTAGTCCTTTGTACTCACCTCCCTGAGTCATTTTGCCTGTACTCATACATAATCAGCTTTTCACTTTGAGTTTTGTCTAAAGTCTTTTTCTATCCCATCTCCATTTGGTCTTATGTATAGAATCTGCTAACCCAGTAGTTAAAACATATTCTGAAATCTATACGATTATTCTTGTTAAACGATTATTTCAATATTTGTATTTAAAGCGTAACTTTCTGGAGGTGGAATTTCACCTGTATGTTTCCATGGCAATAGATGAGAGGGACTTGTTTAACAGCACAAATCCGCTCCCCTGCTGTACTTCCAACTCAGAGCTTGACTTTGGTTGATAGCTGTGTACTGGTTAAGAATCTTAATTTGTTTACAGCGAAAAGCTAGCTTTGAAAAATCTGCTTCAAAATGTCACAGATCAGAGAAGAGAGAGGCTTTTCAAAGACATGTTTTTATTTTCAAAGTGATATCAGTTTGTGTGTCTGCCACTTAACCCGCTGCATCCTCTGTGTAGTATTTTATCAGAGGAGACCGACCAATCAAAGCAGAGACGGCTCACCAGCTCTACGTGCCATTTTTTATTTTATGTAAGAGGGACTAGTTTAACAGCACAAATCAGATCACCTATTCCAACTATTCCAGTCTTAGTCCAATGAGGTTTATTTAGCCTTCCAATATTTTATGTTATTAGGTTCTTTTTTCAGACCAAGAGTTTGTTTTCATACCTGACAGTTTGGACTGCTCACTGTGGTCTTCCTCAGAGTGGTCATGTGATTTTGACGTGTCCGGACAGCTGATTTATACAGTTTTGTCGCTGTCTTCCTATCGAGCAGTCAAAACTGTCAAGTATGAAAACAAACTCTTAGTCTGAAAAAAGAACCTAATAACATAAAATATTGGAAGGCTAAATAAACCTCATTGGACTAAGAGCTCATTTAGTTGGAATAGGTGATCTGATTTGTGCTGTTACACAATTTACATAAAATTAAAAAGAGTACACAGAGCTGGTGAGCCATCTCTGCTTTGATTGGTCAGTTTCCTCTGATAACATACTACACAGAGGATGCAGCGTGTTAAGAGGCAGAAAAAAGAACCTAATAACCTAAATCAGCTCTTTCTCGTCAGATTGTGTTAAAATAAAGCTCAAAGTCTAACTTGAATAACAGAGCTTCAGACAGAGGTGTGTTTACGGTTAGCGTCACATCCGGAGAAAATGATGACATCAGCTGAAAAGTATCAGTTAATACAAAATATTTAGCATGGACAGAAAAACAAAAGCTAGCAGTGCAAGTACTACTGAAGTGAGTTATTTAATTTAGCATAAGTCTTTTTAAAATGTGTCCAGTAGAGCTGTGCCAAAGTATTGAAATATTGATATATCGTATCGTTTATTGTGATGATACAGTATCGATATCGTGGGCTGCTGTATTGAATATTATTTGTTGCATTTTACTAAATTATTTTGTTACAGAGCTGCAGTTTTGTTTCTTGTTTAGAGGAAGGAAACTCATTGAAACAATATTTTACTTTATTTGAGTTGATTCTACGAATCAATTTCTTATTTTAAGTGCAAATAGTTGTTGTTTTTCTTATTTTAAGTGTAGCAAGATGTATTTTCATATTTTAAGTACAAAAAAATTACTCAAATCATGATAAATCTATCTTAATTCAAATAATTTTAACATGGCTAGATTTTATTTTTTGCAGTGCATGTGAGACATTTGACATTTTTACAGTTTTGATGATTATTGTTATTAAATTTTTGTGTTTCCTATGAACTTTGCACAAGGTTTAACAAAGACTTTTACTATCACAGCCACGATTTAGCCATTATTTTTACTGAACCATATCAAATCTATTTGAAATATATCATATCGAATCACTCACTGTATCAAGATATGTATCGTATTGAGGCCTGTGTATCGAGGTATGTATTGTATTGGCAACTTCTTAATGATACCCAGTCCTAGTGTCCAGAAACTAGAACCAAAATATGGCACTAAACACCATGTTGTGCGGGATTCTTATTATTTCAGAAATTGACATTTTGAAAGAATTCAGTGTTTTCATCATATTTTGGTGTTCATGTGATTCTTTATACTGTATTTGGCTTGTTTGTTGTGCATGCTGTATGTCTTGTGCTCTATGTATTTGCATGTCCATTATTACTGTCCCACAAACCGTCCCTCTGCAGAACTCGGACTATTCTAATGCACTGGAGTGTTACCTCACTGTGAGTAATGACCCAAGAGCTTTCCTTGTCAGCTTCACTTCATTTTCTGTTCAGTCAATTTACTTTTCATCTTTTACAATATTTTCTGAACCACAGCAATGTTGCAACAGCAGACAGACAGCCTTAAAGTGCGTATAACAGCAGCTTAGCTTATCCATTTCACTGAATACATAGTTAACACTGTTATATTAAAGATTTTACTAAAACATAAAAAAAAGTTAATTTTAATAATTTTACTTCTTGGTTGGACACAGGTAGTACATATGAGGTAATTCCATAATTGTTACCCAGCAGCTGTAAAGTTATCAAGAGCCAAGACTTGTCTAAATAGGCTCTGTGCACAAAAGACTCTATTAACTATAACTATATAACTGTTTTCTTCATTATTTGTCTGCAGACACAAAATGAAAAAAAACAGATAATGATTCGTTTTTTCAGTTTTCGATTTTATGTTTAAATGAATAATGGAAAAAACTGATAACGCCTGTTTCCCATTTCCGTGACTTAAACTGCCATGCTGAACTTTTGCGCCGCATATGGACTAAACCAGGTCTGACCAGACCGGAACCAGACTGGGACTGAGACCAGGACTTAGACCGGGACCAGACCAAGACTTGTCCTGGGACCAGGACTGAGACCGGGACTGAGACCGGGAACAGGACCAGGATTGAGGCCGGGACCAGACCAGGACCAGGCCGTGATTGAGACCTGAGACTGGGACTGAAAACAGTTTTAGTTTAGTTTTCGAAATAATTTAGTCCTGGTTCAGTCCGTATGGGGCGCAAAAGTCTGGCATCGCAGTTTGTGTCAGGGAAACGGGAAAATCTAATTTTTTTCATTATTTAAACATAAAATCGAAAACTGAAAAAATGAATCGTTATCCTTTTTTTTCATTTGGTTTTGGAGACAAATAATGAAGAAAATATAAATTTTTTCGTTTTCTTATTTTTGGTTTTATATTGAAAAACAAATGATACACGAATTGATAACAACTTTTGGCAGGCTCTGTTCGCAGTAGTAAGTCTGACAAAATCTAGGAAATTTGAATTTTGCCCAGTTTTCTTCATCTACATGTCATTGTAGCATTATGTTATGTTCAACTAATCAACAATTCCAACCACATCTCAGTTTTCATCATTTCTGCACTGACGCGCAATTCCGTACTGAGTACATGTGATTAGAAGAGATGGGGTGCCAAATTCCAGATGATTCCAAACAGCACATACGTACGCAGTCCTCTTACTGCTGATTACATTTATTTCAGTGGGTTTGATCACAGTCGGTCGGCGAACCTGGTGTCTGGAACTACACTGGAAGATGTAATCACATGTTTCCAAACGTCTTCCTGGTTTGTGACGTCAGCGTGAATAGAGTCCATAGCGTCCGGCATCCGCACTTGTTAGCATCAATACTTTCTGTCCAATTTTATCTTTTTGAGGTTTTTGCTTAGCCAGGCTGGTGCCACCTAGTGCCTCTGCTCAGTTTCATTTCTCTCCAGTGACTAGGTCAGGAATCAAAATACACTAGACAGTTCACAAAAAGGCAATCAGTGAAGAGCCATACATTCTGTGTTGTCAACGATTCCCGAGATCGAGGATTTAAAGCCGGAACAAAGAAAATGTTTGGTGGATTTTATCAAGGGGAAAGACGTTATTGTCCTTCTTCCTACGGAATTTGGGAAAAGCTTAATATACCAGTTAGTCCCGTTAGTGGTGCATTGCATACGTCACAACTAAATAGAAGCGATTGGTTAAATAAAAAAAAGTACCCGCCTACTGTCGAGCTAAGAAATTCTAACACTGAGATGAATCAGGCTAGTTCATGCTAAAAATGACTACATATTTAAAGATAAGACAGTGGACAGAGGGATTTCACACCGCTACTTCCTGTATTTTTGTACTTTTTTTTTCAACTTTTTTACCCCCACAAACTGACACTTAACTGATGTAAAACTATGATATTATAATATTTATCAAAGTTAATATCCCGACAAACCAAGTGAAAATGAGAAAACATGTCATAGGCACTTTAACTTAGACCTTGCAATTTTCTCCCAAACATAAATAAAAGTGCTGAAAGAATACACCTGTAGTTAGTTCATATAATTCATCATGTTTATGCATTGTTAGCTATCAAGTAAATTAACGTTGTGTCTTTTGCCCCGTAGGAAATGGCGAGCACTTTGGCCCAGAAGCACCTGCGATCCATCATCCTCAATGTAAGTCGACGCAGCACCACTTCAAGCTTATGTGCTATAAACTCCAGGTTTACTCTAAGTACAAGAGTTTAAGTAATGGATTGTTCCAAAGGGAAATTAAACAGATGGCGCTACAATGTATTTTGGAACACTGGCTGCTAATCTTAGACTTTAGATTCATAGTTATTTTTACAGTATGCAATGTTTTTCTTCCAAAATTCCTCTGTAATTTTCTCACCAATTAATAAACTCTGTTCTAAGTATTTTTGCAAGGCTATATTCATCACCTTAGTTTGATGTTTTGCCAAATTATCCAATGGAGCAATTAATACTAAACCAGTTTTTACCCAAACATGTCAGTGGCTTGAGTTTGAGTTTGGTTGATAGCTATACTGGTTAAGGATCTAATTTGTTTACAGCGAAAAGTTAACTTCAAAAAAGCTACTTCAAAAAGTGGCAGATCAGAGAAGAGAGAGGCTCTTTAAAGAAGTGTTTTTATTTTCAAAGTGATATCAGTTTGTGTGTCTGCCTCTTAACCCGCTGCATCCTCTGTGTAGCATGTTATCAGAGGAAACCGACCGATCAAAGCAGAGATGGCCCACCAGCTCTATGTGCTCCAAGTGCTGACCTTTAACCTTCTGGAGGAGAGGATGATGACCAAGATGGACCCCAATGACCAGGTCAGATCATACTAAAAGCGTAGCAATACATAAATGTACGATCCATCCATGTACTATCCACTGAGACTGTGGTGGCACGGGTGATCAGTATTTCAAAAATAAATTAATACTTGCATAAAAATGTGTACAGTTTAAAAAATCAAATGACACCTAATGTTTCTGTAGAATGTTGTACTTACATCAGCGTAGCCGCGGGGTCTTAAACGTCTTAAATTTCATGTTCCTAAATTAAGGCCTTAAAAAGTCTTAAATTTAGTTGCCCAAGTCTTATTTTTTTCACAAAGGTCTTAAATTTCATCAGCCTATTTTTTTGTATACTCAACCAGGCTGCAGTGCGACGTTAAAATGAGGGAGGGAAAAAAAACAACAACATGAAATCACATAATGTGAATGAACGTCTAATTTGGAGTATGCGCAAACAATACTTTGTTTATTGGCGCCGGAGGCAATGAGTAAACAATCAGTACAGTGGAAGAAGATGTTGGATGGATCATGAGAAAGTGTAAGTTTAGTGGCTCTTAGATTCAAGATATAGTACTGGTAGTTGGCTGATCATTATTACAATTGGAGCTGGTGTTTTTTTCGCCCATAGAATGGGTGCGATGTTGGTCTTAATGTTCTTGTAAGTGGTCTTAAAAAGGTCTTTAAAAAGTCTTAAATTTGGGGTAGTCAAAGCTGGGGATACCCTTTATATGCTTTTATGATAATACATTATATAAGTTAAACATGTATTATATAATTTATTATTATTAATAATAATAAATTGGCGGCAGTATCTGTGTTGATAGAATGTTTGTCCACTGATCTGAAGATTGGCTGTTCAAATCCACCTCACCCACAGTGTCTGTGTAGCCAGGCTGATGCCACCTAGTACCTCCGCTCATTTCTCTCCAGCGACTAGGTCAGGAATGGGAATACACTAGACTGTTCGCAAAAACCCCGGAAGTGCAAGCTCGAGTACCAGCCAGTCAACGAAGAGCCATACATTCTGTGTTGGCAACGATTCGATCGAGGATTTAAAGCTGGAACAAAAAGAATGTTTGGTGAATTTTATCTTCCTAACGGATTTGGCAAAAGCTTAATATACCAGTTTGCCCCTTTAGCGGTGCATTACATATGTCACGACCAAACAGCAGTGATTGGTTAAATGAAAAAAGTACCCGCCTACCGTCGAGTGAACAAATCCTAATGCTGTGAGGTCAGACAGTTTCTACGAAGTGAAACCGGCTGATGAATCAGGCTAGTGTCTGTGTACACTGGTGTATGAATGTGTGTGTGAATGGGTGAGTGGTTCCTGAGAGCCTTGAAGGTGGAAAAACGCTGTATAAAAATGTGACCATTTACCATTATTGGAAAGAGACATTTATTTGTAGAAGCATGAATTAAAATAGCGGCTGCACTAAATTAAAAAGTGTTCATTCATTGCATCCACAGATAGCTACGTGCTTGTCTCGGTGATAGCAGTGTAATGATGAATAAAATGGATGACTAAGCGTGGAACTTGTGCCAATAAATATAATTAGATGAATATAATTTGATCTCATTCATATTCCGTGTCCTAGACCCAGAGAGACATCATATTCGAGCTGCGCAGAATCGCCTTTGATGGAGAGAACGACCCCACAGGGACAGAGAAGAGGAAGGCCATGTACAGCAAAGACTACAAGATGCTCGGCTTCACGGTCAGTGCATGTCTCTTTAAAGGTGCATTCGGAAAATATTCTGGTGGAGGGTCCTGCTTGTCTACATGGAGATGGTATTACGTTGCCTGGAATGTTCCATGGTATGACATTAAACACATCTATCTAGCATTTATTCATTAGGTGTTTCTATTGCTTAAGAATACAATAATTCTCTCTGTGACTACGGTTGTCTCTCCACAGATCTGACCTATAATTTAACCAATAGGATAGAGACAGGATTAATCTTACTGTGGAACATTCTATCTAGACAAAGCAATAACATCTCCATGGAGACAAGCAGGTGACGGACCCTCCATGAGAAAAGTCACGCAATTCACCTTTAAGAAATAACCATTAACCCATAGAATAAGAGTAGCACAGTGCAACAGATGTCTATACTTCTACATTGTCCCACTACGACTACATTATCAGTTACAGTATGTCTGCAAACAAAACATAACATTGTTAAAGGTGCATTGTGTAACTTTTCTGGTGGGGGGTCTACCACTTGTTTTCTCCATGGAGATGTTATTACTTTTTATCTGGAATGTTTTACACTATGATATTTAACCTTTCTATCAAAGAGACAACCCCACTCACAGTCAGAATGCCTGGTTTTCTAGGTAGTTTTGAGCTAGAAAATCACCTATAATTGAATAAATGTTAGGTAGACCTGTTTAATGTCATACTGTGGAACATTCCAAGCAGAGCAATAACCTTTCTAAAAACAAAAAGGTGACAGATCCACTACCGAAAAGTTACAAAGTGCACCTTTAAGAAATCGACAGAATAAGAGTAAAAGAGTGAATATAACACATTTCTATACTTCTACATCGTCCCACTACTACTACAGGATCAGTTACAGTATGTCTGCAAACAAAAACACAACATTGTCTCATTTGTTACTGTAATTCCAATATTCAAGTAAGAAATACTATCGTTATTATATTTTTACATACTATTATTGTAAAAAGTAAAAATGTATTAGTATTTTATTTATATATTCTTCTCTTGTTCTAATAATTTCAAAATAAGCTAATGTAATTATATTCTAATATCCCTGTGTTTGTTTCAGAACCATGTGAACCCAGCGCTGGACTTCACTCAGACTCCTCCAGGGATGTTGGCTCTAGACAACATGCTGTACCTCGCCAAAGTACACCAAGATACTTACATCAGGGTACGGACATGGATTTACTACTACTGATACTACCACTGCTACTGCTGCTACTACTGCTACTACTACCGCTGTTACTACTACTACTACTGCTACTGCTACTGCTACTACTACTACTGCTGCTGGTACTGTTGTTGCTACTACTAATGCTGCTACTGCTGCTACTGCTACTGTTACTACTACTTCTACTACTACTACTACTACTACTACTACTACTACTACTGCTACTGCTGCTGCTGCTGCTACATCCTTTTGCTTTCAAATATGTATTACAATATTTTATAGTAAGATTTAGCCTTTTAGAAATTTATTCTCTTGTTTGTGTATTGCTTGCACCAATACTACTTACTTACTTACTACTTCTACTACTACAGTGTAAAAGCACTCACATGTCCATTGTAACTGTCTCACAGATAGTTTTGGAGAACAGCAGTCGTGAGGATAAACACGAGTGTCCGTTTGGTCGTTGTGCCATTGAACTGACCAGGATGCTCTGTGAGATTCTGCAGGTCGGAGAGTTACGTAAGTACAAAGTATATCTCTGACAATAATTGTACCTAAAATAATACAGATTTTGGACGTGCTACAGCCCAAATGTAATAATGTTATTTTTCCCCTCCAGCAAACGAAGGGTGTAATGATTACCACCCGATGTTCTTCACTCATGATCGGGCCTGGGAGGAGTTCTTTTGTGTCTGTATCCAACTGCTCAACAAAACATGGAAAGAGATGAGAGCTACTGCCGAAGACTTTAACAAGGTTTACAATTATTCATTACACATGCATTTTTCAGTAGCTTGGCCAAGATAGGCAGAATACGTTTTTGTTCCTGCAAGTAAATACTGTAATCTAGTGGAAAAAAGGGTTGGGCGGTAATACGGTATTACAGTATACCGCGGTATCAAAAAATAGCAGCGGTATCAGTTTCATTACCTTCATTTAAAAAATCTGCAGCACGTAAGGACCTAATATAATATTATAACTTATTGATATCTTTATTTGTTTGCTCAGCACCAATTAATGTGTGGTTGTATTTTCAATTTAATGCTATCATGGTTTAAAACGAATAGTATCTGTAATGTTTCTTGGGAAGATGACGTTCGATTAGTTTCGTTCCGCTCTCACATAATGCGCATAAGGGAGACCAAGACAAGACGACAAGTCTGGCTCCAAGCGAGTTGGTCCCCCCCAAAAATACTAGTACTTCTGCAATTTGGCAGCATTTTGACTTCAGGCCACATTTCTTTTCGTTTTACAGAAACGAAACTTAAAATGGCTTATTTACATGAACTGGAAGCGCTGATAAAAACTACTTGCTTCTTGTGCTGCTGATGAGGTTCAGCTTTTGTCGGACTAAAGGACACGACTCAGTGGAATATGCGTTTTTTCAGTGGATTTTTTTTTTTTTTCTGCGACAGAGGATGTTGCGGCTAATGGTGAGTCTGTTCTGTGCGTGTGTCGCATTGGAGATGGTTCGTGTTTTAACTTTTCAGAGATCATAAGTCTGCAGGTCATATGCATAGACCGTACACTGGTGCAGCTTTGTAGCTTACCAAAGTCATACTAAAACATTTTGGTAATACTGTAATACGCTGGTAAAATCCTGAGATGGTTTCACAGTATCAAAATTTGGATACCGCCCAACCCTAGTGGAAGATTTAATTTGTTTTGTCATTTAAAAGATGTCAGCGATGCTTTACATGATTTCTGCAGACATTCCTCCTTAGGAATGCCTAATCTCGTTACACATCACAGTATATTATAATAACAAAGAGTAAAAATACTTAAATTCTAACATAATATTGCATAAATGTACAAATACATGTCAATATAACACATTTTAAAGTGTGATATACTGCTGAAGTAAATATAAACGATAATACTAATACTAATCTATGCCACTGACACAAAAACCCAAGAGCAGATTCAAAAGACGAAAACTATTCTAAATATGTAATACACAAACCGCAATAAATAAAAAGCAGCATGAAACAGTTTAGGGCTTAGTTTGTAATGTCTGTAATGATTCATAGAAGTTATTAATACTGAGCTCTGAACCTAGGGAAACAGAGCCTTCTTCATCAAAGCCCCCACCCTCTGGAACTCTACCTCAGCAAATCCGTCACTGTAAAGAACTCTGCACCTTCAAAAACATGCTCAAAACTCATTTATTTAGAACTGATTTTAATGTCTAACCTGCTTTTAAATCTTGCCTATATTTTGGCCCTGTAGTGGACCAAACAGAAAGGCAAAGACAAAGTATTAAAATAAGTTTAAATTTAATAAAGTCCAAAAAAGAGATAATTTAACAAAGGCTCAAATTAGGTAAATCATGAACAAAAAAAGCCGGGTCCAAATGGGGAAACTCAAATCAAACTGAACTGAACAAAACTAACCTAACCAGACAAAGGAACAGGGCTGTTTAAATACCAGAGGACCAACTAAAGCTGAACACAAGAGGGAGGAATTACACTAAGTAATTAACTAAAACTACTAACTTAATCAAAGTAACAAGAAGGCAAATAATTATAATACAGAAAATAATAAATGATAATAAAGTGACCTCAACACAAACTAAACAAACTAACTTAATAAAACTAACTAACAAAACTAAAAAACCCAAAAAGAACAAGTGTAAGCAAATAATTCAGACTTATATTAACTAAAATGTGTGCACCCAAATTAGAATATAAGTCTAAATAACTGAATTAAATTATGTATAATGTAATTAACTTAATGTAAATGAAATGAAATAATACTGACAGTATGGAGTGGTGGCAGAAGTATCCACCACAGTCCCATTACCTGGTTTTTAAATATGTCTTTTTAAAATTGTATTCTTTGGACAGCGTCTTTGAGTGTTTAGAAAAGCGCTATATACCTAAAATGTATTATTATTATTTTTTACTATTAATTCAACCTTTTATGGCTTAAATCTTATTGTGTAGCCAAAAAATTACTAAAAATTACCAAAGATTCCCTGTAACGCAAAGAAAATGTACACATGATAAATAGTGATCCCAAAAAATATATTAATTATCATGACAGTATTATGACAGTATGTATTAATGCATGTATGTAAACAAAAGCAACCACAAATGATATGGAGTTTAAGTTTTGTTACATCAGTGCTGAATTTGCTGAGTCACTTGATTAGAATTCTGCAAGTGATCGCATTGTAATGATAAAGTGAACTTTTTTTATCCACAAACATTCGTAATATAATCTTTGTTGTTGTTGTTGTTGTAGGTGATGCAGGTGGTGAGGGAGCAAATCACTCGGGCTCTGGCCATGAAGCCTTCGTCTTTGGACCAACTGAAAAACAAACTCCGAGGTTTAAACTATTCAGAAATCCTGCGTCTGCGCCAGTCCGAACGCATGAGCCAGGACGACTTCCAGTCCCCTCCGATCATGTACGGACAGTCTTATACTACTACAAAACATAGACTCATAAATCCTAGTGCTTGTGTTATTGCTTGTTCTGGTGTACTGTGCTTTTACAGTGAGTTACGCGAGAGGATTCAGCCTGAGATCCTGGAGCTGATCAAACAGCAGCGACTGAACCGTCTGTGTGAGGGCAGCTGCTTCAGGAAACTGGGAAACAGGAGAAGACAAGGTACACATATATTGTATACTTATATTATACATATTATATACTATAACACTATTTTCTTTTTTGATTTGATTCACTTTTAGGTGGTTAGTGTATAACTCATTACAGTGTACATACTTTATATTCAGTCTGATGCCCATAAAATAGATATAACATGTTCCATATGTAAAACTTCCAATCAAATCAAACACTGAGCTAGTCAATGACCAGGTGTAGGCAGAAGCTGAAACTTATTGTGCTTCCCTTTATCTCCTACTACAGCACGCTGATGGACATTTATCTACAAAACGAATACAACATGGACATTTAACTGCAACATGATGAAACAAAAGTGTGCAATTTTTCTCATTATCATGCTATTTTAGGACATGTGTTTCACTGTGCACCATGTAACTCTTTTGGTAGAGGCTTTGTCATAGAGACTTATTACTTTGTCTATAATGTCCCACAACATGGCATTAAACATCCATCTCCATGTATTCAAGTTTACAGTACATGTTCTTACTGCAAAAAATACATGGCAAAAAAACTTGGCAAAAACTTTAAGATATAAACAATTAAACCTGTCAGAAAATGACTTAAAAGTAGTGAAATTATCTGTCCATGCAGCAAGATCATTTTACTTGACAAGTGATCTTAAAATAAACTTCCTCTAGACTAGAATGAAGCAGACTCAGAGCCAAAGCAGAGAAATTTGCAGTGTACATTGAGACACATGCATTCTTACTGTAACTTTGCCTGGTGCTGTCACCTGCTTGTATCCATAGATACCACCTTTCAGTTGTGTGTTGACTGGCCAGCATACTAAATATTTTAATTTTCATGTGTTCATTGTATTTTTTATGATTCCTTGTAGAGAAATTCTGGTTCTGTCGTCTCTCGCTGAATCACAAAATGCTGCACTATGGAGACCTGGACGAGTCTCCTCAGGGCGAAGTGCCTTTTGAGCTGCTCAGCGACAAGAGTGAGGCCCAGCAACACACAGACACACAACACAACACACACACACAACACAACAACAAAACACAAATATTTTCCCCTGTTTTTTGGGGACATTACATTTATTCGCATTTATTTCCTGGAAACTGATCCTAACCTAAATCTATTATAGCCTCCATATCATCAAAGTCACGTTGTTAATCTAATAATAAAGGATTAACATTTTTGTCCCCATGAATTGAGTGTGTGTACAGATTTTAGTCTCTCAATTTGATAAATACAATCTCACAAACACAGAAGACAACAAAAAAAGCGAACAAACCCCAAACTACACGCACCATTGTACCAATCACACACCACAGGACATCAGCTCAGTGTTCAAGGCTGTGGATTTTGCTTTTAAACATGACTTTCTCCTCTGCTGCTCCTCGCATTCTCCTCCCTCCTGCGCTCTCTCCACCTTATCTCATCTCTCATCCTCTTCTCTTCAATCCCTCTTTCTTTCTTGCCTCTCTTCTCAAATCCCTTGTCTCTTTTCTCTCCCTCCCTCTGTTCTCTTTGCCATTTTCTGTCTCCCTCATTTTTTATTTCCTTCTCTACCCCTTGTTTTTCCTCTGTATTTCCTATTTATACCTCCTTCTTTCTCTCTTTCCCTCTGTTCCCTTTTCTCCTGTCTTTCCGTCTCTCTCTCTCAGTCCCAGTGTCTGATATAAAGTCTGTGGTCACTGGAAAAGATTGTCCCCACATGAAGGAGAAGAGCGCTCTCAAACAGAACAAGGTCTGTTCGTTTTCACATTGTACGCACAAGCTGTTAAAGACGCACTTGTTGATCTTTTTTTTTTTGTTAATACATTTGGTTTGACTGTTGTTCCGTGTTCATCCTGCAGGAGGTGCTGGAGTTGGCCTTCTCTGTTCTCTATGACCCTGATGAGACGCTCAACTTTGTGGCGCCAAATAAATATGAGGTAAATAACACAATCTCTACCTGTATTTTGTTTAAAAATGTTGGAAACTGCATTGCATTCTTAGTGTAGCCGGGCTCGCCTTATCACAGATCTCACCTGTAAATTAGTCTGGTGGCGTTTAAAGATACTATATTGCACAAAATTTACTCTGGTACACTTTAAGATATATTATAATGTCTCCTCAAAAACAGACCTGAAGTTGTGTTTTGCTTCATTCACACGTTTGAGGAACCCTTTGTTATTAGTCTGTGTACATCTCCAAAGCTCAAAATGCTCTGTTCCACCTTGTGATGTCATGAAGCAGTAGTTTTCAAGGTACCAGCTACCTTTTACTTTAGTTCAATAGAGACTGGTAACTCGAAGGCTGAACTCATCCAAATGATTCTAGTGAAGGTGTGTGGAATTTAAAAGCACGTCCTGTATCACCACATGACATTACAAGGTGGAACAGGGTGTTTTCTGTTTGAGAGAAGAACTCAGCCTAAATATGCAGAGTTTGTGTGTTAAACATGTATGAATGAAACCAATTCCAACACAACTCCAGGTATGTCTGTGCAGAGGAAACCACATTATAACATAGAAAATATCAGAAAATAGTGTAATATGGGTCCCTTAAAGTTGTACTGCTGCATTATTTTCATGTAATAATGTAAACCAGTACAGATAGATTGAAAAAGCAGCTCTTAGGTTAGCGTTTTTAGCTGCCATAAACCAGGAAGTTGCTCTGAAAGTTGTGAAAATTGCTTCTAAACATGGTGAATAGTTAGGATGGTGAATAAAGTTTCCAAAAAGGTACTAAAAGGCCAAAAGATATATTTGATATAGCACTTTTCACAGACATATGTCACAAAGACGCTTTACAGAGCATTATTCATTCACTCCATACCTGGTGGTGGTAAACTGTTATTGTAGCCACAGCTGCCTTGGGGCAGACTGACTGAAGCGAGGCTGCCAATCTGCACCATCGGCCTCTCCGACCACCACCATCACTCATGCACACACCACTTTCATAGTAGGCAATGTGGGTGAAGTGTCTTGCCTAAGGACATAACAACAGTTTTTGCTACTGGCACCCCCCTATGGCACCTGATTTTCCCAGTGATCTCCCATCCAAGTACTAACCAGGTCTGGCCCTGCTGAGCTTCTGAGATCTGACGGGATCAGGCCTCGACAAGCCGGTATGACCACAAATAGGCCTACACTATGTTACTGTGTGGTGAAGGGCTTATCTCCAAACCTGGAAAAACACACATTCTTACTCTGCAACCTTTAATATCATCAGTAAGTGATGGAAGTGATGGAAAGTACTGTACTGAAGTAGATTTTTTAGGTATCTGCACTTAGATTCATTTTACAGTGGGTACTTTTTACTTTTACTTCATTACATTTGAGAGCAGGTATTTGTACTTTTTCTCTGCATTTTTTTAACAGGACTGAAAAGTAAAAGTAGTTTTCATTTGATTTGAGGGGTTATTTTTACCATAATTTTACCATCCTGACTAAAGATTTTGAGTTCAAGCTTTAAAAATAAATAAATAAGTGAATAAATAAACTGACTCGTATTACTACTGTTGATTAAAATCTGTATATTTTTTTAAATCAATTTCACTACATTTATTACTCTAACAAATAAACAAGAGTTTATGAAAATCTGTGTGAAAAACTTTAACTTTTTACTCTTAAAGTACATTTTTAACCATGTACTTTAATACTTTTACTTTAAGTAGATTTTTTCATGTGATAATTTTACTTGAATAACTTTTTGCCTCTGTATCTGTACTTTTAGTTAAGTAACAAAATTGTCAGTAAATACATATAAATACCCATTTCTTTCTCCTGTAGTACTGCATCTGGACCGACGGGCTGTGTGCGCTGTTGGGGAGGGAGATGGGCAGTGACCTGACGCGCTCAGACCTGGACACTCTGATCAGTATGGAGATGAAGCTCCGCCTCCTTGACCTCGAGAACATCACCATCCCAGAAGCCCCGCCCCCTGTGCCCAAAGAACCCAGCTCCTACAACTTCAACTACAACTACAGCTGAAAAACAACTGCAGCTACAATTGAAACATACAACAATGGCTGAAAACTGTATTACTACTTAAAAAAAATACAACCACAACTTCAGTCCAACTACTACTACTACCAGTCCAAAATACCACTCTAACTTGAACTCCAACTAAAGCTGAAAAAATGATTCACAAATGAAAAACAACTCTAACTCTAACTGCAACAGCTGAAAAAAAAAAATCTATTATATCTGAAAATTACAACTGTATCTAAAACTACAACTGATGAACAACTACTAGAAGTTCAACTACAGCTGAAAACGTATATCACAAATGTCCCTAAATGTTACCAAACCACACATTAAAGAAGAAAAGATGTCAAATCAAGAAAAACGTATGTAACTTTAACTGAAAACACAACTATAACTAAACTACAAGTCATTTGTCTTCATATTTTGTCTAGGCCTAGTACAAAATGATCAACAATGATCTAATTAAAATAAAATATCAACTTTACAAAAGTTCTACATAATTCAAGAATTCATTTCTTGAACTGTTAATTCAAGTGAACTACCAAAACCCGTATCCAGTAGGCACATAAAGAATACAAATACAAGCAAATGACTTCATTTTGCTGTCTTAGCTTTAGCAAGAGGAAGAGGAGAGGAAAGAATGTTCTTATTGACTGATAGGGCTGGATCCATTTTTATGAAACTAGTGCCCAAAAAAAAAAAGACATTTACGATACCTGTGTGGTGTCACTCATCTAGTCTAGAAACATAAACCATAATAATAGTAATCCATTAAATACAAGTAATTATTTATGTTCTTTTAAAACTTGCTTAAGTACCCCGTCCTGTGTCTTTGAACGTTTGAACTAATATCTAATGGTTTGATTAAGTAATATAGTTTTTTCCTTATTAGTCAAAGCAAGGTTCATTGTTTTTTATCATATATTTTAAATACTGTGACAGTAAAAGAAAAAAGTACAGGAAATACAGAGCTTAGACAAGAGAACACAGAACTAAATAGTTACGAATATAACTATGGTTCTATGTATCCTGCATGTCCAGAATCATCAGTGCTTTAGCGCCCTCTGGTGCTCAGTGGGATCAAATAAAACTACATTTCATTTATGGCCATTTTCATGTGTTGCTAAGTTTACTACTGTCTGGTGCCAGTTAATTTTAGCACTATGTTTTAAATAATTTAAAATAATTTTGTTATTAACAGGGTTTATTCTGAAAAACTGGAACAGGCATGATAACAATGTAAAAACATTTATGCCAAAAATGTGCACTGAAAACATTCCCCTAAATACAATAAATATAAGAAAAGGTCTACAAGAGCTCACTGAGGACAATGATCCTGGCAGAGTTTAAAGTTTTGTAAAACTAAGATATGACTTACAATAGTTAAAATACTACTGTTATGCTGATGCTAGTGGTGTTATATGATTGCTTGCTCGATGTATTAAAAAGTCTCAGATAAGCAACAAGAAATTAAACAAATTATATAAAGTTATGAATGAACCACATAAATGACCATAGTAACTAGTTTGACTAATCTCTCTTCTCTTTATTAAGAAATAGATTTATATTTTTGTAATCCGCCATTAAGTGGAGTGTAACATTGAACATGCATTACCATATCTGTCATTATTACTGAAAAAAGGACAAGTTTATTACCATGTTCATTTCAAAAACCTTTGCCAGCAGCTAATAATGATGTCAGTGTTATTGTTCTATAGAGTTGATGGTGGTTTGTGCAAAGATAAATTGTTTTTCTAATGTTTTAAATGTCTACAAACCATTTTCTATTCCATCGGACCGTCTGAAACTGCAGTACCTTCTGTAGTATCTAATATTATGTGGGATGTACTAACCATGACTTGAATTTATCACTCTTTTCATAAGATATTTATTTAGTGGAGGTGCAGAGAGAAGAGAAGTAGAAGTGATAGTATTTTATGTATATACGGTCTTGTGATGCCTTAAGAAAATGTAAAATGTTTTGTGTGAATAAATGCAGAGTCTAACTAAAGAGGTGTGTTTTTTGTAATTCATTAAAGAATTATTGGTCACATATTGAATTTATCGGAATATCTACCTATTAAAGATCTTATATTACGCTATTTTCTAATCCATGTTATAATGTTTCTTCATCACAAACAGACCTGGAGTTGTGTTTTGTTTCATTCACACGTTTAACACACAAACCCTGCATATGTGTGCATATTCTTCTTCATTCTTCTAGTCATGTTCTTCTCTTAAACGGAAAATACAATATTCCACCTCGTGATGTCATGTGGTAATACAGGAAGTGCTCCACTGTGTTTTGAAACTCCATACACCAGGGTGTCGAACTCAAATTCACAGAGGGTCAAAATTAAAAACTGGGACTAAGTCGTGGGCCAAACTAAATATTTATTGACAAATTTCAACAACATCTGCATGTTTTCTCTTCTTTCGACATATGTAATGTTAAATCTTTTCTTATTGAAATAAATGTTTAATAATAGATTTGCTTAAACATTAAATCCAGAACAAGCAAAATATAAAATAATAGCTAAATAAAAATAAAAAAAATGTCTCTATGGCCTATCTGTAGCCAGCGGGCAGCTCTAATACATGTTTGATATTATCTCACGGGCCAAATATAATTATTTTGCAGACCAAATTTGGCCCCCGGGCCTGAGTTTGACATGCCTGATTTGGATGATTTCAGCCCTGGAATTGCCAGTCTCTACTGAACTAAAGGTAAAATGCAGAGCATTTTGAGCTTTGGAGATGTAAACAGACTAATAATGTTACTCAAACATGTGTGAATGAAACAAAACACAACTCCAGGTCTATTTTGATGAGATAACAATGTTCTAACATGGCTTAATGCTCACAGGGGTCCATTTTTGGTGCCGTTCTTTAAAACTGCACTATGTAACTTTTATGAAGGATGGTCTTCCACCTGTTTGTCTCCATGGAGATGTTATTGCTTTGCCCTGAATATTCCACAGAATATTCAGAAACTTTATTTATTTATTTGTTTTAAATCTCTATTACTTTAAGTAGTTTTCATTCTTAGGCAGTAAGTTTGAATAAATATAATAGCTCTTAAACACATACTGTGAAACATTCCAATTCCAAACGATGCAATCATCTACATCGAGACAAGCAGGTGGTGGACCCTTCACCAAAAAAAAAAAAAAAAAAAAAAAAAAAAAAAAAGGTACTACTGGTCTTTCACAATTAAGGGTAAAAATAAATAAATAAATAAAAAGGACTCTAGCAGCATGGCCAAGCTGTACTGCCACTACTATTGATGTTTCTTTTATATTTAATTTAATTATTTTTCCCCCCCTTCTTTTTATGTATTTTTTAAAATCTTTCTTATGCCATCTTTAAGTCTTTGTGTGTTTGGGGAAAAGGGGCGGGTTAGGGGGTTTGTGAGCTTTGTTGTTTTATGTTTGTTCTGTGTATTATTTTCTGTATTTGTGTCTTGTTTTCATGTTTATTATTATTATTATTATTATTATTATTATTGTATTGTTTAATGCTTTATTTTATAGTCCTTAATAAAAAATAAAAATTAGAAATAAAGAACTGTAACATATTTTTACCATTCCATTATGCTATGATATTCACCAACACTATTTCATGCAGGTGTAGTTATCTATCAACATTTCCATTTAACTGTATTCTTGATTAATTCAATATAGTAACTGTTCTACACACCCCTCTAGATAACTATTATAAGTCTAAATGTTCCATGGTTTCTGTAAAATGTGGGCAATGTCAGGTCTTAGCCAGCAGGGGGCAGGATAAAGCACACTGCTGCCACTATCTTACTGTAAATTCTGTGAGGTTAACTGCTTTAGATATGACAAGGAGCTCTGCACAACAATACTGTTGTTATCTCTGAAATGTGTTACAAAATCACAAAATAGTTACAAGAGAGTTGGATAAATTTGATCTTTTATTAGATAATGATGATGTTTCAAAATAGACTGGAGCACAATCACGTGAAATTAAGCTTCTGGGTTGATGTGAACAGTACTGTGCAAAAGTCAGAGCAGAAAAGTAAGACAGGTGTAATGTACAAAAAATATACACATCTTCAAAAGAAAATCAAAAAATAGAGTTTGACCTCTGCTAAGGTGCAGGTCCTAATTCGCAATTTTATTTTAGTAGCCTGATTCATGAGATGGTTTCACTTCGTAGAAACGGTCTAACCTCGCAGCATTAGAATTCGTTCACTTGACAGTAGATTTTAAAAATTTTATTTAACCAATCATTGCTATTTGATTGTGATGCCACAAACTGGGGTAACTGGTGTATTAAGCTTTTCCCAAATCCCGTAGGAAGAAGGGCAATAACGTTTTTCCCCTTGATAAATTTCATCAAACATTCTCTTTGTTCCAGCTTTAAATCCTCGATCTCGGGAATCGTTGCCAACACAGAATGTATGGCTCTTCGCTGATTGGCTGGTGCCCCAACTTGCATTTCCAGGGTTTTTGCAAACCGTCCAGTGTATTCCAATTCCTGACCTAGTTGTTGGAGAGAAATGAAATTGAGTGGAGACACTAGGTGGCACCAGCCTGGTTATTATTTTAGTGCCATGAAGCAAAATTCACCATGTTTATAATGAGGAAACAGCAGTTAAATAAGTTTATATCACCCAGTAACTTCTTCTCTAATGCTTTTTCAATCCACGGGCTTCAGAATGATGAAAAACTACCACTGTTGCCATAGCAATTAGAAATTTAAAGGGACAGTTTGGAATTTTGGACATAGGACCTCATTTCCTAGTGAGCCAGAGTGTTGGAGACATGTGGAGACACTTTTTAAAATATTCCATCCAGTCCTTGTATTTGCAGAGGTCGCTGGTGCTAGGCTAGTGCATGTCAATGGCCATAGTTATCCTGCCACTAAAAACAGTCTTACCCACTCCACAAAACACCTGAAGTAAATTTTTTAATACTCCAGAATGTCGATGTAATTGTCTGTGTCAATAGAATAATTTTAAAAGTAAAACCAACCTTGCATTTGAAGTATTTATGTCTGAGCAGCAGCAGGGAGTTGTACTTCCTGATAGAAAGCTCGGCAGCGGTGGACTGATATCACCTGGCACCAGCTGGCTCTGTAATAGTTTGTTTACCTGCAGCTGCCATAGTGACACATAAAGCACAGGAAGAAGGAAATATGGCCAAATTCATATCACCACAACTAACTAGAGCATAGTAAAATTCTGCTGCTGCTGAGAAAATAGTCCCTCAACATGCGACGATTCATGATGAAGGTTGATTTTAGTTCTAAAATTATTCTATCAACACAGGCATTCAGATGGACAGTCTGGTGTAATAATAGATTTACTTTGGGTGTTTTGTGGAGTGGGTAAGACTGTTTTTAGAAGCAGGCTAACTATGGCCATTGAAATGTGCTAGCCTAGCACCAACAACCTTTCCAAATACAAGGACTGGATGGATTAGTTCAAAAAGTATCTCCACATATCTACAGTACTCTGGCTCACTAGGAAATTAGACCCTTTGAACTGTCCCTTTAAAACAAAATGCCCTTTTGAACAGTGAAAAGCACTGTAAATGTTGCCTTTAACAGGAAGCATAAACCCTTAAATTGACAAATTGTCACACAATGACTACCTACTTACTTCTTACTACATATTCATAAATTAAAGGTGCACTATGTCACTTTCCTGGTGGAGAGACAGTGACCTGCTTGTCTCCACGGTAACGTAACCAGGAATGTTCCACAGCATGGCAATATGTGCACTAACTCCCAAAGTGCATTTAATGAACGACTATGTTTCGGTCCGTAGATCTTCCTCAAGTCGTGGTATGTAATGTATCTCCATGGAAACAAGCAGGTGATACCAAGCCAATTTACAGGTCAGGTCTATGGGGAGACGACCCCGCTCACAATAAGAATGCATGTATTTCAAGTTATTTTTCAGCAATACAAAACAACGGTGCACTGCAGTGAAATAAACGACAATGAGATATGTTTAATGCCATGATTTGGAACATTCCAGGCCTCAAACGGATTTTTGAATAAAATGTAAAACATATAATAGTTGATGAACTTTTCCACAGTACTGTTGAGTTTGGAAATGTCCCATGTTACTGACTGGAAGCAAAGCAAAAAGTTCACACCAATCACCAGCTTACAAAGCAAAAATAAGCAGCAGTTTAGTTCAAAACCATCCCAAAGTCTTTAGTTTCCGTTTGAGCTTTAAACAATGACGACGTGATGATGACCCTGGAGTCCGAAACACTTCCAAATAAAAGTCTTTTGATCCGATCTGTAATTCCGCCTTTGTGATTGTCCATTTTCTTCTTAATTCTGTACAATACACTTAAACACAAAACAATGACAATATATATTTACTTTATATGGTATAGAAAATAAATACAAATCTATATATCCACACACCACGGCTGGAATTTACAATCTTTCTTCGTGTTTTCTCGTCGTGTTTTGTCTCATGTGTGTAAGTGGATGTAGTGTCAGTCATTTCAGTTCATAACACAATCATTTTTAATAGAGTTAGAGCGCAGGACATGGCTTTATACTGGAGGATTCAGTCAAGTTTAGTGTACAATATATGTATAAACATAGTCAAATAATACTAGTACACTTCTCCTGAGCTCAAAGCCAATCCGTGGGTTTCAAAATGATGAAAAATTAGGACCGTTGCCATAGTGATTAACAATTTCAAACTAAATATTGTCTCTCTTGAATGAGAAAAAGTGCTTAAAATGGAGCTAGTGTAAATTCAGCCTCTCATCGTTCTTCTCTCTTCTCATCCTCTCATTGTTCTCCGCATGTTCCTCATCCTCTCATTGTTCTCACGCTCCTCATCCTCTCATTATTCTCTTCACGCTCCTCATCCTCTCATTGTTCTCACATTCCTCATCCTCTCATTTTCTCCTCACGTTCCTCATCCTCTCATTGTTCTCCTCATGTTCCTGATCCTCTCATTGTCCTCTTGACTCTCCTCATCCTCTCATCTTCACCTTCACGCTCCTCATCCTCTCATCGTTCCCCTCGCTCTCCTCATCCTCTCATTGTTCTCCTCACGCTCCTCATCCTCTCATCATCCCCTTCACTCTCATCTTCTAATTGTCCCCTTCACTCTCCTCATCCTCTCCATGCTTATCATCCTCTCATTGTTCTCTTCACTCTCCCCATCCTCTCATTGTCCCCTTTGCTCTCCTCATCTTCTCATCATCCCCTGCATTTTCCTCATCCTCTCATCGTCCCCTTCACCCTCATCTTCTCATCGTGCCCTTCACTGTTCTCATCCTCTCATTGTCCCCTTCACTCTCCTGATCCTCTCATTGTCCTCTTCATTCTTATCATCCTCTCATTGTCCCCCTCGATCTCCTCATCTTCTCATTGTTCTCTTCACCCTCATCTTCTCCTCGTCCCCTTCATTCTCCTCATCATCTCATTCAAAATCAATTCAAATCAAATCTACAAATATTGAGACTTCATTTTGTGTGGGGGGGTTTAGGTTCTCAAACTTGCTATGTTAATTTTGTGGTTTAAAGTCTTTTCAGACGATAATCACGTATTTGGGGTTGTATAACGCCACCATTTACGATTTAATCATCACAAGGGATTTTATACCAATGAATCCTGACACCCTGTGAACAGTTAATGAGAAAAACGGGCTGGTTAGATCTTTGTGTGAGATGTTTAAACAATTGTCATTACATTACTTAGTTAAAACCAATCTGATCAGGAAACAGCCATTATGAGCATGAACCGTTTATAGATTAGACCAGGAGTCTCCAACCTGTAGCTTGGGAGCCACCAGTATCTCTCCACCCCCTTCCAAGTAGCTCGCAGAGGGATTTCTGAATCATACATATTGTGTTGAATAAGTAAAATTGAATTAATTAAATGCCTTTCGCTATTGTACATGTATCATTTTGATGCCTAACTTTGTGCACTAATAAATGGATAATGAGTCATGTTTTATACGTTATCTAACTCAGGGTGATCAGATTTTCAATATAAAAAACTGGGACATCCTCGGTTTGTGTTGTTTGGTAATAATAAAATTGTGAATTGAGTGTGTAATTAAGGAAAACTTTTCTGCACTCAGCCCATTTACGACTAACATGTGAGTCAGTATAGTCACATTTTCTTTGTGTTTTGGTCATTTTTCAGCAGCTTTTTTTGTATTTTACTTAAACAAATGACAATGCATGCCTCTCTTGACTGTTGGCAGGGATCAAATTGGTCAAAAATAGCGACATCTGGGACATTTCTTGTATAAAACTGAGACAAATCACTTGTTTTGGATAAATCTGCTGAGACAAGGGACACAGGGCTCAAAACCGGGACCGGGTAAATAGGGACACCTGGTCATCCTAATCTAACTGTACCTCTTCTAAGGCTTGCTGAGGCTCTTTTATATACTAAATTTCTTGTGAAAGCTAAAACTAGTAGCTCTGGCATTTTTGTTTCGTAAAGGTAGCTCAAAGGAAGAAAAAGATTGGAGACCCCTGGATTAGTTTTAGTTATCAGCCTGAAAAACGTTTGGAGCCCACCAGCCCGAGGGTTTGTGATTAGTGAGATGTTTCGTTGACCTTAGAGCTACAGATGAAGGATCCACCACCTGCCCGACTACAAGGAGATGTTACTGCTTTGCCTGTGTAGAATTATTAGTACAGCACAGTAGTGTAGTATAGTATAAACCTACTATCTCCAAGGAAACAAGCAAGAGACGCTACCAGGCCAAGTTATGCGTCAGAACAATGAAGAGGTGATCCTGCTCAGAGTGGTTTTGTTAGCATTAAAAACATCTATAACCGCGAAAATGCAAGCAAGTTTAATACCATAATTCAGAACATCCCAGGCATCTCCATGGAGACAAGAATGTAGCGAACCCTCCCCCAGTAAAATTACATAAATTTAAGGTTGTACTACAAACATACGTCAGCCCAAATCCTCCGCTACAGAGCCATGTTTTGCTGTTTAACCCATCACAACGGCACTTTCTCACTCTCTCCTCCTTTTTCTTCTTTGACCTGGATCACATGACCTTTCACTTCCTGCAGCAGCATCACGTGATCACCCTTCTGACCCTCCGTCTCAAAGCTCTGCCCGGCCAGAGCTAGCAGGATCAGCGCCAGCAGCAGAAGCGTCACCGCCGTCGACGTCAGCTCCGGTTTCAGCTCGAGACTAGCTTCCGGCTCCTCTGCTTCTTTTGTCCTAAACGTGACGCATTGAGGTTTTCGAACGCTTCTCACCCTTTTGCTTACGCGCTTGCTATCGTCTGCGACCCCTAGGTGGAGACATACCCTGTAAAACGTCTCCGGTTGCAGATGCGTTAGATTAAAACTTTGTGTTCCAGCGAGGATTCTTGTCGTGTAAGTCGGCGTGTGCAAATTGGCGTATATGGCTTGCCACGATAGACGTGTTGAAGGTAAGTTACGTACATTTTGCCAAGAAAGGATGGCATAGCGTTCTCCAACTTCCCTTAATTCCAATCTGGCAACCTCAGCTCGCAAAAACGCTTTCAAATTCACTTTTTTCCGACGGTTTTCTCGAGCATGCACGCCAAGGGTTACGCTTCTTGTATCTGCGCCTAGAATATTTTCAGCAATACAAGTGTACAGTCCGGCTTCATGGGATGTCACCTTGCTGATTTCTAAAGTACCCTCAGGAAGTAGCTTGTAGTGCTTGTTCCGATAGCATAACGACCTATTCTGACTGTCCTGATTTCTGCTAGAAGTAACGTTATGATTCGATCTTGAGAAATTGCGACATGAATTCGGTTTATTTGGTCCCAATTTCATCCCAGAAGGAGTTACCCAGTAGATTTCCGGTTGCGGATCACCAAGCGCGCGGCAATGCAAGACCAGTTTTCCGTTTTCTCTCACGCCGACGTACGAAGGGAGAGAATTTGACGGGATCATCGGAAGGCAAGACGCAGACATCTCCAGAGTTGATACCTCCCGAACTTTTCGCGATCTCAGTTCCGGAGGCTCGGCGCAAAGAGTGGCTTGCGGTTGGATAAATCGTACAACTCGAAGCGCTTGGGAATCAGTTTGATCTTTGTCGATATAAAGATGGGGAGATTCTTCAGCAGCCCAGCGGAATAAACAATCGCAACGTAACGGGTTGGAGTGTAAGCTAACTTCTTGCAAATTGGGCAAAGATAGCATGATATTGTGATGTAGAGCGCTAAGAGCATTTGAGTTTAGCATTAAACTTTCAAGCCTGGTTAGTTTAAGAAATGCGTGAGGATGAATGTAGGACAAACGTGGATTATTTGTGATTTCAAGTTTGGTTAGTTCTGGGAGATTTTCCAGCGCTCCTTTCTCAATTGAAACCAGATCGTCCATGTTGTTTAAACCGAGCTCCTTAAGATGCACCATGTCATGGAAATCACCATTCTGAATTATTTTTATCCGATTTTTGTTCAGATCGAGGAATTTGAGACCAGGAACTCTTCGCAAGGCTGCAGTGGGGACTTTTGTAAGTTGGTTGTCAAAGAAGGATAGACTTTCTAGCTGATCCAAGCCATCTAGCGCTTTCTCTGCTAGATTTTGTAGCCCCATCCCGCCAAGAACGAGACTCCGCAAAGATTTCAACGCGATAAACGCTTGTTCCGGTAACGCTACTACCGGATTTCCACCTAACATCAGCACCTCCAACTTCGGTAACGCTTTGAACCATCTTGGATCTATTGTGGTCAGTCTGTTATTGTTGATATGCAGGCGAAGCAGGTTATCCAAGCCAGTGAATGCTCCTGGCGAAATCGTATGCAAATTGTTGTGACTTAAAAACAGTTCTTGCAACACTGGCAGTGACGGGAAAGATGCATCCGGTAGGTGGCTTAAATGGTTTTCTTCTAAATGCAGTGCTAGCAAATACCGCAATGGGGGACCTGACGTTATTGTTCGAATATGGTTGAAACGGTTTTGCGATAAGTCGAGATCGGTCAAATTTGGGAGTTTTTGCAACGTTGAAGTGTCCAAGTCCGAAAGAAGATTACTCTGCAGTCTTAGCGTGTGTGTGTTTTTGGGAATGGGTGATGGAAGCTTGGTTAGCAGTAGGTCATTGCAGTCCACAGTTGGCGCCTCGTGGTACAAGGAGTCAAAGGAAAACCACGGCTTGATTTGGCAGACGCAGCGGATTGGGCAGGAGACATGCCAGGGCAGTGAATGTGGTAGGTTACCCACCACTAGAGGCACGCAAATGACCAGGAAGATACAAACAGTGCAATGCAAGGGTGATGGTTGGGGCCTCATAATCCTTACGAATGAATGGAGGTTGCAGTTGAAAGAAATGTTAAGTGTGTTCAGAAGATTGCTAATAGTTTGGGTGCCATCTTCTTGGTTTCACATCGTTTGGAGGTAATTGGAGTTTCCTTTCCAGCTAATCTAGTGGCGTTTACTCTTAAATTCAGGTGTAAAATGGCCGTAGTTTGAAGAAAATAGCGTTGATGAACACACTGGCTCCTTCACATCCTGGCAGTAGGTGGCGCTCTTGTGGTTGTGGAGTGGTTCAAGAATGACCTGCAAAACATAAGAAAGATAAAACTTTTTAGTAAAGTTAGTTGGAGCAATACACATGAGATCAAAGTGTAGACTACGATGCATTTTAGACACTTAAAGGTTCACTGTGTAACTTTGGTGGAAGGTCAGTCACTGTTGGTTTCCATGGTGATGTTATTGCTTTGCCTAGAATGTATAGGGTTAAACAGGGGTGGGCGATATCTTGATGTTTTAAATATATCGAGATATTTTTTAAGCAGAAAATGGATTCTGACATATTGTATAAATCGATATAATGCTTATATTTAATTCTGATTTCACCGCTTCAGTTGTTTGCCTTCTCTGTGCTTGCCTGGCACAAGAAGCCAGCAGTTTTTTTTCAGCACTTATAGTTTATGCAAATGAGCCATGTGGTTTTAAGTTTTGTTTCTGTAAAATGCGCAAAGTTGCATTAAACACACTATAATCTCAAAGGGGCCAATGTGGCTCTATAGAGAACCTGCATGTGATGTCACGGCCTTGCCCTGATCCACTTCCGGTGAGCCAGATATTTCACATTATGCCGGAAAAGAGAGATAAAGACACAGGGGTTCAGTTGTATCAGATCCCAGTTGAAGCTGATAGAGGAGACAAGTAGAGCTGCCTTCAGTGTGCCAAATACCCGTCAATATGCGGGGGGTCCCCATCTCCCAATTGTTGAGCAATACAGACTCAAATGTGAACAAAGAAAAAGAGACCACAGTGGATGCCACTGACAACCTAAACTGAATAGGCCCTATTCAATTGATTCAACTTATAAAATGAACTGCATTTAGCCTAGTGTGAGAAATGTGGCCACAGACCTGGTTACAGACAAGACATGTTACTAGAATGCTAGTTACTATCGTCGGGACCATCAATATGGCGGCCAAAACAAAAACGGTCACGTGACTGCAGGGTCACTATAGTAGTTATGGTTTATATGTTGTAAAGTTTAGTAATGTAAAGTTTATTTATGCAGAAGATTTTGATCCATAATCTGCTGCAGTGTAGAACTTGTACAATAGTAAAAACGGTCAGTTTGATCTGGGCAGTGGATTGTGGGATACCTCACAGCTCCTTACCGCTGGTGAGGAACCTCATCTGCTGAAGGAGCTCATTATGGTTATAGTATGGATAACATAGTATGGAGTTAATGAAAAGATAAGCTTGAGATCAATTATTTTTATTTTTGAATGACAACAAGGCAATATGTATAATTTCTTCCATCCTTCTTCTTTTTTTTTTCAATGTCACAGAAGCACTTTGTTTCTAAATGAACTGCCGACCTCTTTGCACTTGGATAAAAAAACGACCTTGTGGAATTTAGCATATTTGTTTTTGCAGTAGTTTTTGGGGGTTTATATTTCCTGTAAAGATTTCTTGATATATAGCAAAATATATCGAGATATATTTTTTGCTTCATGTCACCCAGCCCTAGTGTTAAATAGGGCTGGGTGATCATTAAGAAGTTGCCGATACGATACATATCTCGATACATAAGCCGCAATACAATACATATCTCGATACAGTGAGCTTTCGGTTCGATACGATATATTTCAAATTGATTCGATACAGTTCAATAAAAAATAAAGGCTAAATCATGTCTGTGATACTAAAAGTCTTTGTTAAACCACTTCTTGTGCAAAGTTCACATGAAACACAAACATTTTAATCATCAAAACAGTGAAAATATCAAATGTGTTGCATAAATGAGTTTCATTCCACTAATCAAGCAACAAAACTGTAGTGTTGTAACAAAATAATGCAGTAAAATATTCTCTATATATACAAAAATACTCTTGGCGATATATCGATACAGCAGTCCCCGATATCAATACTGTATCATCATATTAAATGATATGATATATCAATATTTTGATATTTTGTCACACCCCTAGTGTTAAATGTTACCTATTTACGTAAGGACAAGCCAGGTATAGGTCAGAGCTGTGGAGAGGTGACCCCGCTCACATTAAGCATGCATGTATTTCAAGTTAATAAAAACATCTGGGATTGAACACCATGGAGACAAGCATGTAATGAATCTCCCCCCAGAAAAGTTACATAATGCACCTTTATGCCTTGAAGATGGTTGATGTAAAAGAACGTCTGTCATGAAAATATGAATACAAAACAATGGGGCAAAGTGAGCAAAAGAGCTCCACCTGCTGGCACACTGAGGAATGAAGCAGTCTCAATTAGGATAAAAACAACAGCAGCTAAATGTGTTAAATGCAGAATGAAGCAAAGAATGTGACTGTACCCTGAGCTCTGAGGAGAAGTAAAATCATTTGAAATCGCGTGTACATTTCTGGTGTCAGCATTTCACAGCCTCAGTTTAGATCAGCACTTTTTATGTAACGACTAAAAAGGCTCCAGGGATCTCTGCTTCTAACGACCTTCTGAGCGCGAGGAGCCATCAAGTCAAATGGTGTAGTAAAAAAAAAATCCTTTACTCATGTTTTCATTATAATACCATCATAAATCCAGACCAGTTTGTTAAAGGAGCACTGTGTAACTTTTCTGGTTGACTTGCTTGTCCACAGTTTGGAAGTAAACAGTGTTGGGAGTAACACGTTATAAAAGTAACAAATTACTGTAATGCTTTGCGTCTTCCTGTAACGCAGTAATGTGGAATTACAGGGGGAAAAATTGGTAATATTTTACTCGGTTCAAATGTCAGTAATGTGCGTCACAATGCTTTTTTAACCTGGATGGAAGTGGTGAGTTTTTTGTTTTTTTTCATACAAATGTGCTAAAATCACCGCGATATCAGCAGCTGTGAAACGCCATCGTTACAATTACGAGTGTTGGGATAGGCCCAGAGGTGCACCCACGTAGGCCATCGGGTGACCGCAGGCAAAAGGACTGCGGTCGCTGTACTAAGTGCAGCCGAAGCCCGATCACGCTTTGCAGCCACCCTGCTCCATGTTCTTGGGGTTCTCCAAGGGGCTCCTACATTCCAAGTCCTATTCCAAGATTAGTCCTGGTTTAGTCCTGGTTTAGACCTGGTTCAGCTCTAGTTTAGTCCTGGTTTAGACCTGGTTTATTCCTGGTTCAGTCCTGGTTTATTCCTGGTTCAGTCCTGGTTTAGTCCTGCTGGTTTAGACCTGGTTTAGTCCTGGTTCAGTCCATATACAGCTCAAAATTTCGGCATCTTCGCTCGCTTTGATGAGAGTAACTTAAAGTAATGCAATAGTTGTGTAATGTCTTACACTTTAAATACAGTAATATTGTAATGTAATGAATTATTTTGAAATGACAGTAACAAGTCATAAATAACACATTAGAGTTTTCCAGTAACTTGCCCAACAGTGGAAATAAACATGGTAATCACAATGGAAACAAGTTAATGGTCAGTTCTATGAAGAAGTAAACCTATGCGTGTAAAAAATTAATGTTCTTATGAGCTATAAAACAACTGTAATTGTACAAATGCAAGGGAGATACTGTATGTTTAATGCCCTACTGTGGAGCATTCCAGGCAAATACATAACATCTCCATGGAGACAAGGAAGTAGCGGACCTCCACATTAGAAGTTACACCTTTAAGAGCAGGGACAATAGGCAACACATTTTAAAATTTGGGCCATTTTTAATAATAATTAAAAACAACAACAACAACAAACTCTCAATTTTCCAGCTTTTTGTATCTTTTTTAAAATTTTCAAATAACCATTTAACTCAAGTAAAATGATATTGATTATGTGCCACCAGATCAAGTAATAACACAAATATAATATCAACATTTGCAGTATTCACACTTTTCCTTGTTGGATCAGGGTTTTGTCCTGATGTAGCCCAGGTTTCAATTTTCTTTAGTCCCAATTTCTATGTTTCATTTATACAAGTACGAGTGCATCCAATGAAACCATCTGACTTGTTTCAGAGTTTAACAGACCTTATTTCAGACTGACCGAGAAGATTGTTTCAGTAATTAGCCTGGGTCCTGGAACAGAGCGTGGAGGTGCTTTTTAAACAGGCCCGGCCATTAGCACAAGTGGAAGTAGCGGTGCATGTCATGACTGAATCAATGGATGTTTGGAAGAAAAGCTCTCCACAGCCCAGATCCTCAGCTCGGTTTGGGAGAACTAGTACTAGTGAAAGACTTTAAGAGACAAACAGCTTATTTTAAGTCGCCCAGTTCCCTGTGTGAAAGCTGCTATAGTCTGTTAGATAAGATAAATTGAGGATTGACTTGGTAGAAGACAAACCAAGACTGAAATGAGTCTTGGATCCAGAAAACACAACTTCTTACACAAAGTACAATTTTTAGATACTGGTACTTTACTTAAATTGCACTATGCAACTTTTTGGTTGGGGTCCATCTGTGTTTGTTTCTATGGATATGTTGGACCTTGAATGTTCCACAGTATGAGATTAAACAGATCTACCTTACATTTATTCAATTCCAAGTGGTTTTATAGATCAAAAATACCTAGAAAATCAGGCATTTTGACAGTGAGCAGGGTCGCCTTTCCACAAATCTGACCTGTAACTTGGCCTGGTTTGATCTCTATAAAGATAGAAACCAAACGAGACTGTGAAAAATTCCAAAGCAATTAAAAAAAAAAGCATTTGACAGACCAAGTTACACTGTTTTGATCTCCATGAAGATAGAAAGGTTTAATGCCATACTGTGAAACATTCCACACAAAGCAAGAACATCTCCATAGAGAAAAGCATTTGACAGGCCCTCCACCAGAAAAGTTACACAATGCACCTTAAAGTCA